ACGACGACTGGCGAGGGCGTTGAGGAGATGAGGGGAAGCGCGACGAGGGGAAGCGCGGTGACGGAAGCGAGGGCGGTTGACGAGGGAAGCGCGGTTGACGGGGAAAGTGTGGTTGACACGGGGAAGTGCGTTTGACGTGCGGAAGCGCGGATGGGGGCGCGGAACACGGGTGACGAGGAGGCGAGGGCGACGACGGGAAGCGAGGGCGGCGAGGGACGACGAGGGTGATGAGGGGAAGCGCGGGCGATGAGGGGAAATGCGGGCGATGAGGGGGAGCGCGGGCGACTAAGGGAGGCGAGGGCTGCGAGGGGGATGAGGGGAAGCGCGGAATGTTTAGCGTCAGCGACGAGGGGGAACATATGCGACCAGCGGCAGCGTCCTAAACGCGAACCTGAACGGCAGGCGCGTAAGTGACCCATGCCTAAAAAGATAGGATCATAACACGAGGCTGAACCGCAACAAGTGTGAGTCATGCGAGCCTGCGTGCGCGGCGCGAGTAATGTGATGGCGTAAATCGATCGCTAACGTAAGTGACGGACGCTTGTGGGGGTATCACACGAGATCGGCAACGTGAGGCTCGAATGGGAGCGAGCTCTCACTAACATGGTCGAGCTTGGTATGTATATTTCTTTCCAAGGATGAACCCTAGTAGTGCTAGTTTTTGCCTGGGGAACCTCCTAGTCTATGAGAACGACTTGGTTTCCAAGCTATGTGACTGGTGAACAGTGCATATCGTGTGCGATCATCGCTTCAGGTTATGTCTTTGGGCACAGAAACCAATCGGGATCCGTCGTCGCAAGACGATGGCCCGGAGTTGCGAGGGTTCTTTGAACGCAAGCAGGGTAACCCTGTTTTTGGCGACTTCAGGTTCAAGAATCTTGAACTTGAAAAAAACCATATTGTCTCGGGCTGAACATGTGGCAGAGGAAATGGAACCATTTTTCTAGTTATTTCTGGTGCACAATCACTGGATGTATAATGTAATCGGGATTGGGGAGAAACTCGTGTAAACGTGTACTTATGATTAGCTCTTATGAAACGATGCGTCTTTCACAATGCACGAGATACCCTTATGAGCAACCCCGATATAATACAGCTCATGGAGCCGACACGAGGCTTCAATATGAAGCTCGACAAGTCGCGACCAAGGTCATTCAAACTGGCTACCAGACAAAAGCAGGGAGTGGCTGCGTCGGGCTTGGTTCGGACGCAGTCGGTGTGAGCACGGACATAGGGCTGGGGCCGCCCGCTGCTTCCCTCGATACAGGCACAGCGTCCTTCACCATAAGGGAACATTCGTTAGCAACACGAAGTGGCCCCCTGAAATCCACCACAAACTCTGGAATATCCAAAACCGCGTCACAAGCTGCTGGAAGAGGTTCGGTACGAGGTTCAGGACAAACGAGAGCGACGAGGCTCGACCAGAGGGAAGAAGTGTCGACAGAGCAGCCGCACGATTCGCGATATCTGCGATCCAGATTCGGCGATTGGAGGTCGAAGTCGCTGAACTCGGATCTACTCAAGATGTGCTCTGCGACAGGTCGCTCTGCGACAGACGACGTCGCAAATCGCAAGCTCTGCTTTCTGTCGTTCACCCCACAGCCGGAAAGTGAAATGCCGTGCCCCATACCCATCCCCATCCCTGCGCCCATCCCCGTATTCCTCCCCCGATAATGCGCGCCCGAGATCATCCCCCCATTCAGGCGGCTTCCGCAACCTGGCGCAGATTCCGCCGGCTCCGGCAGCCCCGTCACTGGCGCACTGGCGCGCGGGGGCTCCGGATCGTCCCGCCAGAGCCGCCTTCTCTGTCTGTCCTGCGGCTGCGGCTGCGGCGGCGGCTCTTGCGGCGACTCCTGCGGCTGCGACGTCGGGACGGGTTTCTGGAAGAAGAAAAACGGAGTGGGGGAAAGCGGAGGCGGAACTGTCTCCGGTATCGCGAGCATGCAGGGGCGCGGCTTCCGCCCGAGAGGAGGATAGGGATTGTGTGAGAAGGCGAGTGTGCTAGAATCGAATTCCATTTGCGCGTCGCAGTAAGGCGCCATGGCTGTGAGAGGTTTCCGCACGAAGGTGGATGAGATATTGCAAATTATCGAGGCGCCTCGATTGACGGGGAATCTTCTTGACGTGGAAGAGAGTTACTGATCAGAAAGTTAGGACGCTTGATGTGGCTGGAAATGAAGCCGAGAATGGGTTTGAATAAGTGAGGGTGATGATGCGTCAGGAGAACGCCGAGTGTCTGACTGCGTTGTCCGACGGCTGTACAGAAAGGTAAAAGCTGAAATGGTTCTGTTGAGCTTTGAGAGATCAACTTTTGATGGCAGTGCTTGTTCAGGTGGTTGGTTGTGGGAAGGTGGTTGAGAGTTGTTGCCTTCAGGGCAGTGGGGGTGAGCTGGGGGTGTAGGTGCAATGGGCGTAGCGATCAATTCGACGCAACATGCTTGTTTCTGGGACCACCTGACCTGGAACGACGAGATCAGACGCGGAACGGAACGCGTTCCATCCATCCAGGGGGCGGCGCGAAGTCCCGAAACGAAAGATTTTGAGTCGACATGAGGGGAACGAACGAACAAAAACGGAACGAACGGAACAAATGAACGAAGCAACGAACAAAGCGAGCTGGCTGGACTAACTGTAGCTTGTACGTCAGAGAGTGCGCGAGCCAGAAGTTTGCCACTGTAGCTTGGTTTGCCTCGACGATCTCCCCCATCTCTCGCCCATACCGAAGTGAGTCGCAGCAGAAATTGTAACGCAGTCAATCGACGGACAACATCTCAGACTCTCTCAATTGACCGCTGGATGTAAGCTTATGCGACCATTATCTCCGATACTCAGATTTTTCCTGAGCACGCTCTCAGGTGTAATCCCCAACAGAAACACAGTTTTTCGATATAGTGTGAAGCTATTCTGTTTCGTCTTTGTATAGAGTCCCTCAAAAAAGGAAGTCTAGCACTTCCAAAAAAAATATAATGCCCGTAGCGAGCCTATATGTTTTCCGGGAAGGATCAACCCGAAACACAGAAAGCCTCCAAATATTTTGGAAAACATATTGCAGCCCACATGACAGAAAAAATAATACCCACCTCGGAAAGGGATGCGACTCGGGAGGCTTCAACCCTAAAAACAATGCCCATTTCCGTGTCTAGGGTTGACCCCTCTCGAAAATGCATCCAGGTTCCGTAGGGGTTTAATTTTTTTCTGCCATGCCCGAATAGGTCTCGGTAGCGTCGTCTCGTCCTTTCGGTAGCGTTGTTTAGCGGTCAGTTGGGCTACTGAGCACTACCAAGTGAATTATATGGACTTCATTCTCTTACTACCTTAATTTCCGTAGATATATCCAAATCGGGAGGGTAAACTGGATGGTTTTGTTTTTGTAACTTCCAAATGAGTTCGACCAGTGTGAGAAATATGACTAAAAAGCGACGACCAATCAACGTTGAGAAAGTTAAGGTTGATTCTACCTGAGAACGCGCTCAGGCAAAATCTGAGTATCGGAGATAATGGCTGAAGTTTATGGCACGCGCCACTGATGATAGTGGTCGCGCAGCCAAACGTCGGTGAAATTTGAGCCTCCTATTGGTTGCTCTTCTGACCCAAACCAGGCTGGTTCATATGGGCTTGTCGCCACCTAGGACGATTGCCATGCCAGTCGGCCAGTGGTTTGGGAAAGCGGCCAACTTCATACATACTCAGATAAGTCCCGAGCAGGTTCTCAGGTGTAATCAAGCTGGACTTTCTCAACTTTGATTGGTCGTCGCTATTTAGTCACATTGTTTACGCTGGTCGAAATCTTTAGGAAGTGACGAAGACATAACTATCTAGTTTGCCCTCCCGACCTGGATCTGTTAAATTAAAGTTCGTAAATTCACGACAGGGCAGAAAAACTAAACCCCGAACGAATCTGGACGAATTTTCGGGCGGGATCATCCCTAAACACGAGAATGGGCATTGTTTTTAGGGTTGATGCCTCCCGAGTCGCATCCCATTCCGATTGGGTTTTATTTTTTGGGTCAAGAGGGTGCAATATATTTCTCCTGAAGTGGGAGGCTTCCCGTAGTTAGGGTTGATCTGTCTCGAAATTCTTCTAGATTCGCTACAAGTTTTTTTTTCAGGTGCTGCATTTTATGTAGAGACTGTATATAGAAAACATCCAGAAACACTCACTACGATATCGCGAAACTGTGTTTCTGTTGGTGATTACACCTGAGAACCCGCTCGGGAATACTTTGAGTATCTATGATATTGGCCGTTTGGGTAAGGGTGTTCGTCATGGCAGCAGACATCTCCCATTGGTTCACATGCACACATCAGGCTGATGAGATGAGCGACACTGTGACTGTGCTGGAGTGTAGTGTTCGTCGCGCCGCCTCTGGTGTGTGAAAACCAACCTGCGACGCGAGTGCGGGCGTCATGTGTGCCAGAGAAGCCCCAAATCTTCAGGGGCAAGCGTACAGTAGTTGATTGAAGATCGAACTCGATAGAATTATGCGGTCAAGCGAACTCGTTTCCAGCATGGGGCAATTGTTCGGAGTAGCGATGAAAAGGCCCATCTTTCCAGCCGTTCTCTACGCCAATACCATAAAATATTCAGCCAGGGGATTACAACAGAGACTTCGTCAGAGTTTTGGCAAAATATCCGTTTCAAGGAGTTCGGTTCTAGTGCAAACACTTCTCCAACTACTACACTGCTGTTACCATATAGCATCTTCTTCATATGCTCTACTTAGTGCATTCACTTCAGTAAACCCAAACTCATCACTTGCGGCAGATACAACATACACTTCTATAGTCTCAGATCGAGGAGCCATACGGTTTTACTACCACCACAGGACAAGGGGCGTGATTGACGCAAAAATCTGAAACACTCCCGATAAGCATCCTGCGGGGCGCACAAAATAAGCACATTATGCTAGAGAGTTCCGAAATTTTGAAGCGCCAATATACTCTTTTCATTTTAACAACTGAGATAGGCTCAAATTATGACAACCGCACGTCCTTCACACTCACCTCTTCACCGGCCCCATTCCCCGGCTGCCCAGGATCAACACGTCAGCATCTGTATCCGCCACCTCAGACACGATCCGCTCCCGCGGGTCTGCATCGCGCACAACCCTCACCTCGCACTGCAGCTGGAATGACAGAGGGGAAGTTGAGTTTGGGTTGTGGGACGTGATGGGTTGTGGGACGTGATGGGTGGAAAGTGGTGTGAGGGAAGTGATGGTTGGGAAGTACTGGGTGGAAGGTAAATTTTTAGTCCAACACAATCAAACTCTCACAAACGCCAACTCTTGGATAATACACTCCCAACTCCCCACTGCCAGCATCCTTCCTCACCTCCATCCGCTCAGGCAGAGCCTCACCTCTACATTGGAGCATCGTTGCAGCAGCAGTCGCTCGAGGCGCTTAAAAACCATCGGACAGGCAAACTCTCACCTCCGCGTTGGAGCATCGTCGCAGCAGCAGTCGCTTGAGGCGCTTAAAAACCATCGGACAGGCAAACTCTCACCTCCGCGTTGGAGCAGCGCTGCAGCAGCAGTCTCCTGAGCTCCGTGTTGACAGCGCTCTGCCGCTCCTCCGTGCGCGCAAGGAGCTGATCCATGGCCGCCTCACTCATCGTCGTGTCGCCCAGAGCTGCTTGGCCGAGGCCCGGGGAGTGGTTGGTGGGGTGGTTGTGGGAATGGTTGTTGGGACCATTGTTGGGAGAATTGTTGGAGTGGTTGTTGGGATGGTGGTGGTTGAGGGTGTGGTGCAGCAGGGATTCAGGAAGAGGTGGCAGGAGGGGGAAGAGGGAGTGGAATGGGGTTAGGCACGGTTGATGCAGCAACTCGTCCACTGTAGCAACTGCAGCATCACTCTCAGCAGCAGCAGCAGCGTCAGCAGCAGAGGCAGCGTCGGATGCAGTCGCCACATCTGCAGCAGCATTAGAAGCATCAACCCGGTGAATGTTAGCCGAGCTGCTGCTACTGCTGCTGCTGCTGCTGCTGCCGTTACCAGCAGCACCCGGATCAGAATCCCAGGCTGCACATCAGCAAGAACAAGGGAAAAAGACCCTCGTATGCTTTCAGTGAAACACAATCCACCGTCCCCCCTCATACCCTCATACAAAAGCCAGTCTCCCCCCACGCACTTGACGGCACCCCTGAACTAAACCTGTGAATGTCCCGTTACCTGACAAGTAACCTATGGAACCAGGTGAAGCATTGCAACTTGACGTCGCCATTCCTGACGAGCTTTGAGTCGACTCAAAACTGGTATGCTATGTAATTAAGTAAACCATTTCAACCAGGCCTTGCTGTTTTGGACGTTACCTGCGTAGATTCCGGGAGCAGTGAGGGCCTCGGTTGGCGATTGCACATGCAGCATCGTGACCAGATCGGACGGTCGCAAATGATTCTCGATAGCCCAATCCACGGCGTGCAAGCTGTTGAGCAGGCGAATGCATGGATGACATCACAACACAGGAGAGAGAAGAAAGAGTTTTTAAGATGTCTGTGACCTCGGATGTATTATGACCATGCGACACAGGAAAGTGAATGCGGAGGTTTCTTTAGATGTCTCTGAACCCGAATGCATGGATGACTTCACGACACACGAGGGCGAAGGTGGTTGGAGAAAGCATGAGGAGACGACGCGGGAAAATATGTTTTTAAAGATCTCGACTCACCTATCTCGACTGTGATCCACTGCTACAATCACTCGCCGCTGCTCGCCGTCCGCCGCAGATCCCGCCGCATCCCCCGCCGAGCCTCCCTTTCCGCTTTTACCCGCGGAATCCCCGCGGTCGCGACTGCTTTCCGCGGCTACTGCGCCGCGAGGAGCGCCGGCGGAGGAGGAGGAGGTGGTGGAGGCGGAGGCGCGCTGGCAGGAGGAGGCGGCGACAATCCCGAGGGCCAGCGACACGCCAGGTGCAGCAAAGCGAAACATGACTGGCGCGACTAAAACGAGACCGCAACACGTCCTGGACAGAAAAAGGATGCAGCTTGGGTTGAATCGGTCAGAAGAGTATGTCTAATGTAACGACTTGTTCATGAAGCTTATTTGCCAATGCTTGATCCTCGCTTAACTCACGAACCAGGAAACGACGTCTCTACTACAGATGCCACTCGTTGGATTTACACGGCAGAACCAATGGAACGAGAGTCGGCTAAGAGAAACTTTATTGCTGGGACACCATTGCCTCGAGGAACAATGCTATGGCTGGGACTACTTTCTTGATACTTCAGTCAGGATCGGAACTAGGCTAGAGCAAAATGAGAGGTGCTGCGGAAGAAATCTAGGTGGTTGTGTCATAATGCGAAGCACGAAAACCGTTACCGACTTAAAACTACAGCACGGTAAGAAACGGTTTATTTCGGTTTAGAGTGTTTCCGAGGCTTTCAGTTGATTTCGCCTTCGGTTTGATGCAGAAACACTGGTATGCTCTTCCTCGCTTCACGGCGTGCTCTGGGCTTGTCAGATTTTTCAGCCGCGTATGACGTGGAACGATATGGGTTGTGACGGTGCAGATATTTCAAATCTGCCTCGTTGGAATCACGGTCAGTCAGAGAAGGTATTCTACACAATTACCATAATTGAACACCCGCTCAGGATTTTATCCTGAAACTTTATTTGATTGCCCTGCATGGTGATTGGACACATCATTATTGCATGGAAAAAAGGGGAGGATCAACATCTCCCAAGGCTGCAGTTTTGAGCTATGTGCAAAGCCATGTGTTACATGAATGCAAATATGAATTTCCAAGGAAATTTGTATGAGCTCCAGAAGGATGCTCTGCTCTCTATCGCCTCTCAAGAATGCTGTCACTCCAAGAAAGAAGCAAATCCCTTCCAATAGATGGTATGCCTGCATACAGATAACATTGTTGAGCAGGTCATCTCATACCAAAGGACTACAGCAAGCGAGGAAAAAATGCACGAGCGGAACAAAACACACGTGGCTGAGGAACGAAACACATGCGGTCGAACCGGGGTCGAGAGAGAATTGTCTTACCTTCAACAATATCTCCCACAAGGTCATCGGTCGGCAGGTCATCAGCCACAAGCCGGTATAAATCCATCACCTGTTAACATGGGCAGGGGATGGCGAGAGTTAGGATATGTAACTGTGAGTCTAACCTCTAGGGTCAAACCCCATTTCTTAAGTCTCCCCCCCCGTCTTTTCCTATGCATCGCTTGCACATGCAATCGTGAGTCCTGGGTGATTGCCAGCAGAGCTGCCCCTGGAGCACCTGGTCCATCAGCAGCAGACTCGCCCAAACCCCAACCCATGGACTTTCTCCCCACCCCCTCTCCTCTTCTTCCCCTGTCTCACCTCCTTAACATGCAGCCTTGAGTCCTGAGTGAACGCCAGCAGCAGCTGCCTCCGGAGCCTCGGGTGCATAAGCAGCACATGTGCGCACCCACCCGTCTCATATTGTCATCCCACCCTTCACACCCACCTCCTTCACATGCAGCCTGGAGTCCTGGGTGAACGCCAGCAGCAGCTGCCTCCTCAGTCCCGGGTCCATGAGCAGCACGCGCGCCCCGTCCCGAATCGTCTCCCTCAGGTCCAGACCGCCGTCCACCACCGCCGATGCTGCTGACGTGGCGGCTCTGGCTGGGCCTGTAGCGGAGAAGCCTGTAAGGAAGGCTGGGGCCGGAATCGGCAGGGCGAGCTGGCTGAGGCTCCTGCGGTTGGGGATGAGGGGGAGGGGAGGGGAGGGGGGGGAAGTGAGGGAGAGAAGGGAGGGTGAGGGGGAAGAAAAAATAATGTTTTTGTACTGGGAGCATGAATCGGCAGGGCGAGCTGGCTGAGGCTCCTGCGGTTGGGGATGAGCATGAGGGAGGGCGGGCGAGAAGGGCAAGGGGGAAGAGTGGCAGGGAAACAGCGGACACGACAGTTGAACACAGAGCACCAGACAACGAAGTAAGGGATTTGGTGGGATGGCACCAATGAGGCAACTCAGAAAAGTATAATAAGAATGATGATAACAGTAATATATCACCGTTTTTATGTGTACTATGCAATACGGTAAACAATCAATTGAAGAGAGTATTCACCCGAAGGAAGTGAAGTCAAGTGGGAAAAAGCATGAGCCGGGGACAACAGCTGCAGGTGCCGGTGTTGCTGCCGCTGCCGCTGCTACTGCCGTGACAGCTAACTCACACCAGCTCACAACTCACCCGAAGGAAGCGGGGTCAAGCGGGAAGAAGCGTGAGTTTGGAACAACAGCCGCCGGTGCCGGTGTTGCTGCCGCTGCTATCGCTGTGACAGTGCCGTCTGGGTGGCGTGCTCTGTTTGCTAGCGCCACTTGCTCCTTGGCCAGAGTGATCAGATTCTCCAAACGCTTCCACTGGAACACACCGTCCTTGAATAGCACCTGAGGGGAGGGGATAAGGGGGGGGGGAAAGGAGGAGAACAAAACGGAGGGATGGTGTGAGAATAGTGCACTCTCTTTTGATGCTCCCGCTGGAACACACCGTCCTTAAAGAGCACCTGGTTGTGTGTGCGGGAGAGAGAGGGAGTGAAGGGGAAGGCGAGCAGGGGAGAAAGAGTGAGAGTGTGGATCATACCTTGCTTTGGTTTCTCCAGACGCTTCCACTGTAACACACACCGTCCTTGAATAGCACTTGTGTTGTATGTACTGGAGAGGGAGGGAGAGAGTGATGAAGAAGGTGCGGGAAATTTCGGTTCAGCAAGTGTTCTATCCACTCACCGTCTACCCAAGGCTTGGTGCGTGTTACACCATGTTTGAGAGGTTTCAGAAACGAGTGGAGTGGATGAGTGGAGCATCACGCATGTACCTGGATCAGCCAGGAGCGCAGTGCCGGATCAGGGTCGGTGAACAGACGTTTTGGTTTTGCCACGTACGGGTAGGCAGTGGCAGATGCAGATGCCCTCCTGGGTGAACAGTGAAGCAGTATAGAAGCAACTGGATGGGTGCAGCCCGTACACACCTGGATCAGCCGGGAGCGCAGAGCCGGGTCCGGGTCAGTAAGCAGGCGTTTGGCCACGTAGGGGTAGGCAACCTCAAGGAACTTGAAGTTGGGTTCGAGGGAGAGGCAGATGCCCTGGTGGGTGAGCAGTGAAGCAATCTAGAAGCAGCGGGATGGGAGGAGGCTGTCAGTACACACCTGGATGAGTCAAAGCGCAGTGCTGGATCAGGGTCCGTCAGCAGGCGCTTGGCCACATAGGGGTAGGCCACCTCGAGGAACTTGAAGTTGGGTTCGAGGGAGACGTGTCACACCCCAGGAACAGCGCAGCGAGTTGTGAGACGTGTCACATCCCAGGAACGGGAGAAGCATGTGCGTACCTGGATCAGCCGGGACCGAAGTGCCGGATCCCGGTCCGTACCGTAAGAAGACGTTTGGCCACGTAGGGGTAGGCCACTTCAAGGAACTTGAAGTTGGGCTCGAGGGAGAGGCAGATGCCCTCCTGGGTGAGCAGCAAGCGGATCTGCTCCTGGCAGATGCCCTCCACCACCGAGTACCTCCTAGAGCGTGTGTGTCACGTCACGACCCCAGAAAGCGAGGAGCAACATGAGCAACATGCGCGCGTACCTGGATGAGCCGAGAGCGCAGTGCCGGATCAGGGTAGGTGAGCAGGCGTTTCACAACATAAGGGTAGGCGACCTCGAGGAACTTGAAGTTGGGCTCGAGGGAGAGGCAGAAGCCCTCCTGGGTGAGCAGCGAGTCGTGAGACGTGTCGAAGCTATAGAACGCGAGGAGCAGCAAGTGCGTACCTGGATTAGTCGAGAGCGCAGTGCCGGGTCGGGATCAGTCAGCAGACGCTTGGCCACGTAGGGGTAGGCGACCTCTAGGAACTTGAAGTTGGGTTCGAGCGAGAGGCAGATGCCCTCCTGGGTGAGCAGCGAGCGGATCACGAGGGAGAAGCGCTCGGGAATGCGGATGGGGAAGTTGTACACCAGCTGGTTGAACTTGCCTGGACGGAGGGAGAAAGATTTGAGAAAAGGGGTGGAGTTGGAAGTTGGTGAAGTGGGTTAGGTTAGGAAAGACTTGGATGACGAGGGAGAAGCGCTCGTGGATGCGGACGGGGAAGATGTAATCAAAGGTGGTTGAACTTCCCTGGCAGGTGGGAGTGAAGGGTCGATTAGGATGAGTGGGCGGAGCCAGGAACCCCAGGCAGGTGAAATCCGTCCCATCAAACACCACCCTTTCTCTTCCAACCCCCAACCCCTCTCCCTCCTCCCTCTCCCACTCACGTGTGACAGTTCTGAAGTTGAAATCCGCGAGGCTCTGCCCCGTGCTGTTCTGCCAGATGGCCTCTAATGCCGGCACGATGGGAGTCACATCCGTGCCGGGCGCCAGGAACCCCAGGCGGGTGAAATCCCCGGCCATCTCAACATAATCCTCGTTGACGGCATGCACGATGGCGTCGATGAGGATCTCCTTGTTGTACTGGCTCAGCTCCGCCACGTTGCCGAAATCCACATAGGCTATGCGCCCGTCCCTCATCGCGAATATGTTGCCTGTGGGGGGGAAAGGGAGGGGGATGGGGCGGGGATGGAGGAGAGGGAGGAGAGAGGGAGTGAAGATCCCTTGGTGGATGAAATCTGCAGCAGTTGCGGCATAGTCCTGACTCCTGGTGGTTGACAGTGTGCACGATGGCGTCTATGAGGATCTCCTTGTTGTACTGGCTCAGCTCCGCCACGTCGCCAAAGTCCACGTAGGCTATGTGGCCATCCCTCATCGCGAATATGTTGCCTGTGGGGGGGGGAGGGGAGGGGGAGGGGGACGAGGGAGAGTCAAGAGCCCCTGGCGGATGAATTTTGCAACCACCACATCACACTGCACTGCACGACACCACACCACACCACACCACAACGCACCCCACCCCACCAGTCCTCACCGCACCACACCACACCACACCACACCACACCACACACCTGGGTGCGGGTCGCCGTGGAAGAGGCCGAACTCGAGCAGCTGGCGGAGGGCAGCGCTGACTCCCACCGTGAGGAACACCTCTGTGTCTATGCCCGCTGCTCGGATGGCCTGGCGTGGGAAGAGGGAGAGTCACAGGGACGGGAGGAACACACAAATGTGTTTGGAAGGAGATAGAGCAGCTGGCGGAGGGCAGCGCTGACTCCCACCGTGAGGAACACCTCCGTGTCTATGCCCGCTGCTCGGATCGCCTGGTGAGGGGAAGGGCACAGGCAAAGACGAGGTGCACGCGTGAGTTTCAGGTACAGGTTGACATAACAAACGGTAAACAAAAACAAAAAAAAACAAAAACAAAAAACCATCCCGAACCCCACCGCAATGCCATTCCTCAACACCTAACCCCCACCCTCTATCCCTCCTCCTATCCCGCACCTGGGGGTCGGTGCAGCGTTTGCCATGAATCTACACTCCATCACCAGCACTCTCTGGCCGCTCATCTCCGCATGGCATAGCGGGATCTTGACCGTCGGATCTCCCAGAAAGTTCTCGTAGGAGCTCTGGATGTTGCGGGCCTCCTGGCGGTAGTCGAGCTCCTCCAGCAGCTTCCTTCCTTCCCCGCACCAACCCTTCCCCACCCCTACCCTTACCCCCACCCCCATCCCCTACCCTTACCTCCACCTGTAATCCGCCCGCACCTGGGGGTCGGTGCAGCGAATGCCGTCGATCCACTCCATCACCAGCACTCTCTCCCCACTCATCTCCGCGTAGCACAGGGGAATCTTGACCGTCGGATCGCCCAGGAAGTTCTCATAGAAGCTCTGGATGTTGCGGGCCTCCTGGCGGTAGTCGAGCTCCTCCAGCAGCTTCTCCCCGAACTCGTCGACGATGAGCTCGGCATTGCACCCGAGCTTCTGAATGGAGATGCCGTTCAGGAAGGACGCCAGCGTACGGAAGAGGAATAGATCGCGGTAGATCACTGGTTCGATCCCCGGCCGCAGCACCTGGGGGGGTGGGGGAGGAGGAGGGGAGGGGGAGGGGGAGGGAGAGGGAGAGGGGGAAGGGGGGGGAGAAGGGGAGGAGGAGGAGGGGGAGGGGGAGGGGGATGGGGATGGTTGGGTGAAGGTGAGCTCCGCGTTGCACCCAAGCTTCTGGAGGGATATGCTGTTCAGGAAGGACGCCAGCGTGCGGAAGAGGAAGAGATCGCAGTAGATCACTGGCTCGATCCACGGCCGCAGCACCTGGGGGGGTGGGGGAGGAGGAGGGGAGGGGGAGGGGGAGGGGGAGGGGGAGGGGGAGGGGGAGGGGGAGGGGGAGGGGGAGGGGGAGAGGGAGGGGGATGGGGAGGAAAAGGTGAGCTCTGCGCTGCACCTGAGCTTCTGAATGCCGTTCAAAAAGGACACCAGCGTGCGGAAGAGGAGGAGTTCCCGGTAGATCACCGGTTCGATTCCTGGCCGCACGCAGCACCTGGGGAAGGGGGAGGAGAGGGGGAGGGCAGGGAGGGCAGAGGATAGGAGCGGGGCGCTGGTGCATGAGCACTGAAGTGCCGCTCAGGAAGGAGGCGAGCGTGCGGAAGAGGAGCAGGTTCCAGTGGATCACCGGCTCGATCCCCGGGCGCAGCACCTGGGGGAGGAGATCGGAGGGGAGGGGAATTGGAAGGTGGGTTGTTTGGTGGCAGAAAATGGGCATGTGGAGGGTGGGGAAGCCACAAGCCTGCGGAAGAGGAACAAGTTCCAGTGGATCACCGGCTCAATCCCCGGCCGCAGCACGTGAAGGAGGGGGAGGGGTGAGGGGATGGGGCCTCCCTCTTCCTGGTGGCCTCTGTTCTACACGGGACCATGAGCCATCAGATGCACCGGAAACGGATGGGGGATGGATGATTCTCTCTCTTACAAGCATTTCCAACGCCCACCCATACTGCATGCCAGCTAAATCATCATCCTCACCTTGACTGCCACCTCGGCTCCCGAGGCTCTCAGCCTGGCTCGGTAGACCTGCCCGAGGCTAGCCGCGGCAACAGGCTCGGGAGAGATGGCGCTGAAGGTCTCTTCCAGAGGCATCCCCATGTTGGCCTCGATGATGGCAAACGCTTCCTGGGGGAGGAGAGGGGGCGAAGCGGTGGGGTGAAGGGGCAGGTGGGTTCGGAAAGAGGTTGGCTGGTCAGCCGGTCAATATGAAGGTCTCCTCGAGCGGCACCCCCATGTTGGCCTCGATGATGGCAAACGCTTCCTGGGGGGAGGAAAGAGGGGGTGTAGGGGCGGGGGAGGGGAGGTGGGAAGGGAGCGTGGGAAAAAGGCTGGGTGGTCAGCCGGTACCTGGGCAGAGAAAATGGCGCTGAAGGTCTCCCCTAAGGGCTAGAGGCACCCCCATGTTGGCCTCTATGATGGCAAACGCTTCCTGGGGGGAGGGTCAGGGGAATAAGGGGGGGGGAGGACAGTTAGGTGGGGGAAGAGGGGGGGGATGGGAGGAAGGGCAGAGGGACGGCGAAGGCTTCTTGGGGATTGCTAGGGAGAAAGGGGAAGCGAGCAACTGGGAGTTGGGGTGGCCTGCTGGGGGATGGAGGAAGGGGATGCATGGCAGCTTGTAACCTGCTCCCCAGGCTGTGTCACCTGGGTGGGGGGGCTGCCTCACCTGAGTGGGGAAGGCAGGGACGTCGTCTTGAAGGATGCAGAGCTCGTTCATGTAGTCTTCCCGGATGATATCCGGCAGGTTCGCCAGCACCTGCCCCGACTTGATGAACGACAGGCCCAGACGGCACAGCAGGCGGCGCAGCTGGCAGCTTTCAGGGCGGACTGCACAGCAGCTTGCACAGGCGTTTGAGAGCTGTTTCCCAGCAACGCTTGACCTGCGACCTGCCTCACCTGAGAGGGGAAGGCAGGGACGTCGTCTTGAAGGATGCAGAGCTCGTTCATGTAGTCTTCCCGGATGATATCCGGCCGGTTCGCCAGCACCTGCCCCGACTTGATGAACGATGGGCCCAGGCGGCACAGCAGGCGGCGCAGCTGGGCGGCGCGCGTCGGCACGTTGCGCTCGTCGAGGCCGACGAGCTTGTCGTAGGAGAGCGAGAGGAAGAACATGGTGAGCTCCCACACGATCTCCGTGCCTCGCAGCAGAATGCCCAGGAAGGCTGAGGGGGAACTGAAGGCGCGCGCTCGCACCTGGCAGGGAGGATAGGGGGAACAGGAACGGTGGGGGGGAAGGACGAGGCGAATAGGCCATGTGAAACCGTGAGGCATTGGAAACAAATGGAAAAGGCTTTCGAGACGTGTCAAAAATGGAGGAGCAAGGGAGTTTTTTTCTTCCCCATCTCTTCATGTTTCTCCCCTCCCTCTCCTCTCTTTCCACCTACTCTCTACCCCCCTCTCCCTCTCCTCTAATCCGCTTCTCATTCTCCCCACTTCCCAATCTTCTTTCATCTCGCCTCCCCTACCTCTTTTCTTCCTTCTTCACACATATCTCCCTCTCGTTCTTCGCCTCGTTCTCCTCGCTCTCCTCGCTCTCCTCCCCTACTTCCCTCTGCTCCTTCTCCACCTGCTCCTCCCTCTCCCCACTCTCCTCCAATCCTGCAACCTAATCCCTGCTCCTCCTAGGGAGGCGTTGACCAGCGTTGACTCACCATTTCCGGCGTGTATTTCTTGAAAGGGTTACACACGCCTCGCTCCAGTTCCAGTTGCTCCATTGCCCGCATTTCCCCGCCGGACGGGTCGCCTGCAAGCTGATTGGGTAGGAATCCCGAGTCGCCAACCACCGTTGTTCGCAAAGACAACGGCTTCATTGCCACGTCAGCGGTGCTGCTGTTCATGCGGCTGCTGATTCGTCGCAGAGCGCGCGTCGCGGGACCCGTCGCGGCTCCGTTTCCACTGCGCATTGTTCCGTTACCGTTGCCGTTTACGTTTCTGCTGCGCGCCGAACCGTTTCCACTCCCGCTGCGCGCCGAGCCATTCCCGTTGCCATTCCGCGCTGCGGCGCCATTGCCGTTGCCATTGCCGCCTAACCGCGCACCGTTTTCCCGGGAACCGGCAGGACGCGGGGACGAGCTTCCCCCTCCCCCTGTGGTGGTTTGCGGAGGGCGTGACGTCACGGCAGCGCAGGGACGAGCGGGAAGCGCGGGAAAGCGGAGGCCCGGAGAGGGGGAGGTAGCGGGGAGAGGTCGGGGGAGTGAGGGAGCGTGGGGATGGAGAAAGAGAGAACTGCGGCTAGAGGAGAGGAGGTGGGGTGATGACGCCATGGCTGCGTGTTAGGCTGAAGCTATGAGTTAAGATGCTGGGATGCTTGGCGTATTGTCTTCAAAGAATATGAATAATGACGTCGACGTTGGCTGTGACTCTGCTTGTCGGGAGATACGGTGACGTATGGCGACGTATGGCGACGTTAGCCGACGATTCGGAAGCAGAGTGCGACGAGAGCGAATGTTACCAGGAAGAAAATGCAGGAAAAGGACAACTGGCGACACTACGTCGAGGCTTGTGCCAGATTACTCCACAACCTTAGACGACGCGAGGCTCGGTTGTACAGTATGCGAGGGTGACGAAAGAGAGCCTGTGAACTCCAACAAGGCCTTTTCTAACAACCCTAGATATGTTGCAAGAGTGAATGGCCAATCACATCAACTCGTGCATTGGCCTGTTGACCCTTATTATCGTTGCAGAATCTTAAAAGTCCGAGGATGAGCTGCAGCCACAGGGACGGAGGGTGAAGCTAATATGCTGAACACAAGGAGTCAGGACGCTGTTGCAGCTTGAAAACCTTGTAAGGACTGAAACGCAGCTCAGCTCAGAGACATCCAGGAGACCGTCTTCCGATTAACGGCCTGAGAGAGCTAAGCTAACGTTCCGTCGACCGTCTTACGGGAAGGAGAAGGAACTGAGGGAGTAGTAATGTTCTTGATGTTGTCGGAGATGAACTGTTGCCTCTCAAAGGAAAGCTCAGGAGTCAGGATTCCTGAATCTGACAGGTTGGACGAAAACGAGGACGAACGAACTTAGGTGTAACAAGAAATGGCTAGGCGAACTACATCAGCGAGTAGAATTCTGGCACGTCGACTCTGGTCTGAAGCTATTTTGCCGTTCTCGCAAAAGTACTTAGTGGACGCGGATGCGTGCAGTCAACGTGTTCGTTGTGGCTGTGAGATGCCGATGACAACGAACTGGGAGCAAAGTTCACGCTACGTGGCTGGCAGAACGTCCAGGAGCCTCGGGAGGTGCTGATGTGGCATACTCACGCGACCTCGCTGATTGGCATGCGGACAGACTGTCGTCTTGGATGAAGTCCACAGGTTCGTGGATCAGATATGGTGCGGCCGTGCTTGCAGCGGAAGATTTGCCAAGAACCCCAGACGTTGGGCTAGTGTAGAAAATGAGGTGTAAATTAGAGGGTACAAGTATGTTGTAGATATTCTTCCAAACAACTACGATATAAGAAGGTTCACCTGTAAACAACGGACACATAAGAGGTATATCCAAGACAGTTGTAGTCAAACATACCGAGATGAAATCGCACCCGTCAAACTAAACTCCTTACTAGATTCTACCTCACAGAGAAACTCCCCCACCCCCCCCCCCCCTCACCCTTCAACTACGGGTTTTGTAGGGTGTATCTACAAACGCGAGAACGAGAATCTCGTACTAGCTCTAGTTGGACATTTTGTTCACACCGGTTTGGAACAATTTTCCCGTGTCTTGCCCAAGAATGAACCGCTTCCGAGAATCCTGGGATATTCCGAGTTCCGTGAGTCTGGTTGGGACAGAGGTTAAGTGATTCAAAATACCCCGTTCGCTCTGAGCTTTTCTATTTCCCTTCTATGTACCGCCTCTCGTTTCTGCGACCAGTGGTTCCAGCCATCAACACTTGAGGGATGCCACCAAATTTCCACTCGGCAACAAATCGTGTTTAGTCAAACGAAGATTTGTCGCTATTGGGCAGCAATTGAGCACGTGAGTCCCCACAGGACGACAAGAATGTTTCAGATTATAATACTTTATCGTAGCTGACTCGTTATCAGCTGCAAAACAGACAAGACACCGCAGATTAAAATCGACACGTTAACAAACACTCATTCAAAAACAGAATGTCGACAGCTGACCTCGGAAAACTGCCAAGGCATGTCGTTGATTTTTCACACTGCAAATCGTTCTGCCATCCTTTCAATCATGGACCAATCGAATTCTTGTACGCGCTTTCCACGTGGCCGAGGTACCCTGGAGCTTTCTTTTTGGGCAGCGCGGAAATGGTGTCAAGTCGCATCTTCCCGCCAAAAGCAGCGCGCCATTCTCGCAGCGCTCTTGCGCTCCGTCCTTATCTCCATTCGCGAATCTGAAACAGTTTCAAACAATAAACGTCCACTTGAATTGACAGAAGGTGCACCAGCCGCGCTAAATAATCCCCTGTCACAGCCAACGAGAGCAGGACACGTGGCGAACTCACCGTTCGCTTCTGACGTGTACAAGGCTCTGCTGTCAGGCGAAGGGGACGAGGAAGAGGAAGAGAGGAGGGGTCAGGCAGGGGAAGGGGAGGGAAATCGGGAGGGGAAAAGAGAGTGGGTAGGAGGGGGGGAAAGAAAAGGGGAGGGCGAGGAAGAGGTAGGAAAGAACGTACTTGGTGTGAAAGACAGAAATACCTCTATCTCTCGCCTCCCTGCAATCTCCTTTCGTGGTGTACCGCGTCGCCCCCTTTACAAGCATGTGGCGGCCGCGCTCTTTCACTATTGTCACACAGGAGGCTTGCCCTCGGCCATGCTGACGTGTCAGGGAATGGAGGAGAAGGAGGGAAGGCGAGGGGAGGAGGTGGGCCGGTGGCATGGGACCGTTATGGACGCTGGTGGCCGGCTTCTGGAGCTTATAGAGAAGCTTTGTAACGAGTACAGCAATGTTAACGGTTCATGGAAGGGTATTAATGAATTTACAGATATTAAGGATTTGGAGCAAATGGGGAAGCCGGAGGTGGGGGAGCAGAAGGAGGGGGGGCGGAAGGAGGGCGAGCAAAAGGAGTGGGGAATGGGGGAGAGGAAGGAGGGGCATATGGAGGAGCGGAAGTTGGGGGAGCGGAGGACTCACCAGCTCCATGTGCAGGCGGAATACCTGAAACAGCTCGCAGGTCTGGGGGGGAGGGGGAAGGGGAAGGGGGGAAGGGGGAAGAGAGAAGGGGGAAGGAGGACGGGGGAAGCGAGGGGGAGGGGGGAAGGGGGGTAAGGGAGCAGGGGAAGAGAGGAGAGATAGAGGGGGGGATGAACAGACGAGGGGGCGAAGAAGTAGGAGCGGGGTGGGAAGAGGGGTGCTGGTTGGAAGAAGGAAGGAGGGACGCGACTGTTGGTGGTTGGAGGAGGGGAAGAAGGAAGGAGGAGGGGAGTGATTCTCAGAATGCGTGTGCATGGGATGGGGGGAACGGTGCATGATGGGAAGGTACTGTGGGTCGGGTTGGGTTGGGTTGGGCTGGGTTGGAAGGGGTGAGGGGAGCAGAGGGAAATCTCTACTGCAGGGGCGGAATAATACGGGCGCCTTTCTGTCTTCTTTCTCTCCCTTTGTTCCTGGTTGCATGACAGAGGGAGTCAAGAAGGTGGAGGGGCGATGCAACCTGCCTCCCTACAGCAGGTATGGCATGAGGGTTTTGAGACGTCTCAAGTTCTGAGAGTTTTGAGAGTTTTCAGAGGTTTGAGAGTTTTGAGAGTTTTGAGAGTTGAGACAATTATGAGCCAAGAAGGAGAAGGGGCAATGCAACCGGCCGCCCTACACCAGGTAGGGCATGAGGGTTCCTCGGCCAGTGGTGTTAATGCTGGCGGCTTTCAATCTCTATCGTCAATCAACAACAGTTACTTGCCTGATAGCGAAAAAGCGAGCTGGTCCCCGTTTCAGCTTGCCTTGCCTCCCTCTGGCTCTCACAAAATAGCCTCCCATTCCCACTGCCGCCCTTCTTCCTCCTCCTCCTCCTCACCCTTCCCCCCACCTCTCCCTCCGCCTCCCAACCCCCTTCCCCCCCAGCATTATTGCAGGTGATTGCATCACATTCAATAACACCCTTACCCTCGCCGTTCAGGTAAGCTACAAGTCTCTTTTGAGAAGTCTTTAAAGTGGTTTTCGACCTTACAGCCACGACTGCCCCCTCCTCCCTCCACCCTTTTCCCCCTTGCTCCTCCCACCCTACCCCTTACCCTACCCTACCCCAGCCTACCCCACCCGACCCCACCCTACCCCACCCTACCCCGCCCTACCCCACCCTACCCTACCCATTCCCAGTCCGTGCAGGCTTACCCCACCTTCACCCAAATGCTAACGTCTGAAGGACTCTCTGCCGTGCTTCCTGGAGCTGAGACGCTGGAGGAAGGTGAGACCAAGGTGCGAATAAGGTGTGAGGAAAGTGCGATGAAAGTGAGACGACAGGTGAGAGGACAGTGCGAGTGTAGGAGCAAGGGTATAAGCATCGGGGATGCAATGCAACAGCTGGGTAAAGACGGACCCGAGAGTGAAAGGGGACTGGGGAGGATTAGGGATTACAGAGTTAAAACCACATTTGATTGTGTCGTACTTTCACTTCCGTTTTTCAGGACTGGCAGTCTATCACAAGTTTTACTCAGAGGAGAAAGAGCATCGAGCAGGTGTGCTTGCATTGAGAGTGGAGCCCACTGTAACGGGGATGGGAGGAACAGAGGATTTTCAACAGCCGTGCGGGACTGGTGACGTGGATGGGAGACAAGCTGACGCGACCAGATCTCAAGCTGATGTGGCCGTGTGTCAAGCTGACGTGGCCATATGTCAAGCTGATGTAAAATCCCAGCTGGAGCCCCAACTGGCTTCGCTTATCCACCGAATCCTCGTTGTAAGCCTCCCTCCCTTCCTCCTCCAACCGTTTCCCCCCTTCCCCGTCACTGCACAACCCTCCCATTCTCACCTGGCCCCCTTCCCTGTCTCCTCCCAAATCCCTTATTTACACTCAACCGCCCACACTCACCCTTGGAAAGCCTTGGGTCCACCTGGCGTGAGCCTTAATTCCTCAAATGTCCTTACCACCTACTCGCTCCCCTCCCACACTTCCTGCATCTTCAAATCCCAAATCTCTCAAACCCCTAACTCACATTTATCCGCCCACACTCACTCCTGGCAGGCCGTGGGTCCACGTGGCGTGAGCCGATTGGTGGGGATGCGAGTGACTGAGGGGAGTGTGCTGACCGCCCTGCCTCCCTCTCGCTCTGCTCTCCTAGCGTCGTTCCAACAGCCTGTGAAAGGGGGAGTGAAGGGGAGGAAGGAGAAGAAGCAGCGGCAGAGAGAGCAGAGGCAGACAGTGCAGAGACATGATGAGAAGGAGAAGCAACAGGAGCAGAGGGGGCAGGGGCAGCAGGAACAGCAGGAACAGCAGGAGGAGCAGGAGCAGAAGCAGCAGCAGCAGCAGCAGAAGGAGCAGGAGGAGGAGCAGGACGAACAGGAACAGCAGCAGCAGGAGGAGCTGTCCAGGCTCATTGGATGTGCAGCAGAGAGTGCAGTGTGCTGCAGTTGCCAAGGCGATTCAGATGTGGGGTGTGAAGCGGTTCAATACAACAGAAGTTGGGTGTGTGAAGGTGCATGCAGTGGGGCATGCAGAGGTGCCACATACCTGCTAAAAAGGCTGTCGCATGTCACTTGCACGTGTGAAACAGCTCTAGACTTACATGCACAGGCGACTCTGGTGATGCCATGTGCTCACAGAAGAGGAGCAGGAGGAGCAGGTGCAGGAGGAGAAGGAGAAGCAGGAGAAGCAGGAGAAGCAGGAGGACAAGGATATTTTTTACATGGAGACCAGATGGCAGCAGCTCACGCACAGGGCACATATACACCTGCTAGCACCCAAGGCAAAGAACCGCCAGCTGGCTCACACGCAGGTGCATTGCTGCAACAAGCAGCTCAACCACCAGCAGTGCTGAAGCCCCATCCTCGCGCGCATGTGCAGCCGCTGACAGTGGGTGCGAGGGCTCTCTCTAAACACTGCCACCGGGGGAGAGACGGCTTCTGGGGCGATGCATCTGGACCAGGTCGGTTGGTGCATTGCATGTGGACCAGGTCGGTTGGTGCATTGCATGTGGACCAGGTCGGTTGGTGCATTGCATGTGGACCAGGTCGGTTGGTGCATTGCATGTGGACCAGGCCGGTTGGTGCATTGCATGTGGACCAGGCCGGTTGGTGCATTGCATGTGGACCAGGTTGGTTGGTGCATTGCATGTGGACCAGGCCGGTTGGTGCATTGCATGTGGACCAGGCCGGTTGGTGCATTGCATGTGGACCAGGTTGGTTGGTGCATTGCATGTGGACCAGGCCGGTTGGTGCATTGCATGTGGACCAGGTCGGTTGGTGCATTGCATGTGGACCAGGTCGGTTGGTGCATTGCATGTGGACCAGGTCGGTTGGTGCATTGCATGTGGACCAGGTCGGTTGGTGCATTGCATGTGGACCAGGTCGGTTGGTGCATTGCATGTGGACCAAGTCGGTTGGTGCATTGCATGTGGACCAGGCCGGTTGGTGCATTGCATGTGGACCAGGTCGGTTGGTGCATTGCATGTGGACCAGGCCGGTTGGTGCATCGCATGTGGACCAGGTCGGTTGGTGCATCGCATGTGGACCAGGTCGGTTGGTGCATTGCATGTGGACCAGGTCGGTTGGTGCATTGCATGTGGACCAGGTCGGTTGGTGCATTGCATGTGGACCAGGTCGGTTGGTGCATTGCATGTGGACCAGGTCGGTTGGTGCATTGCATGTGGACCAGGTCGGTTGGTGCATTGCATGTGGACCAGGTCGGTTGGTGCATTGCATGTGGACCAGGTCGGTTGGTGCATTGCATGTGGACCAGGTCGGTTGGTGCGTTGCATTGCATGTGGACCAGGTCGGTTGGTGCGTTGCATTGCATGTGGACCAGGTTTGTGCTTTTTTATTTGATCCGAGCTCTGTGAGGCACGAGGTGACTTTTGAGTCGACTCAAAAGTCACTTCGATCCGAGCTCTGTGAGGCATCGCAATCCATTCTGCCTGAGCTGTATCCATTTCCTCTGTCTGTCTGTCTCTGTGTCAACACCTTTTTTTTAGGCACCTAGAAATTCGCCTTTGTTAGCCCTGCTTTTCTCTCAAGTAACAAATGATTCTACCACCCATTTGTTCCCCTCAGATGCAAGGAAGAACCAGCATGCCTTGCAGTGTGTTGCATCTGAGCCTTTGAGGCATTCAAAAACTACCACATGTGCCACTTACAACCTCTGCTACTCACTCGTTCTTTCCCCTTCAGATGCAAGGAAGAACCAGCATGCCTTGCAGTGTCTCACCAGCCTGTTAGACGGTGCCACGTGGATGAACATGCATGCCCTGCCACACGACCTGCCGGTGTTTGAAGTGCGGGGGAGCGAAGGGTACGGGGCGCGATGGAGTGCTGACGGCATGCAGGTGAGAAGAATTGACTAGCACAGACATGCAAGGGATTGAACTGTGAAGTTGCATGCCTTGCCACATGCCTTGCCACATGCCCTGCCACATGCCCTGCCACATGCCCTGCCACATGCCCTGCCACATGCCCTGCCACATGCCCTGCCACATGCCCTGCCACATGCCCTGCCGGTGTTTGAAGTGTGGGGGGGAGAAGCGTACGGGGCGAGATGGAGTGCAGATGGCTCCCATGTGGGAATAGTTTCTTAGACACCAACGTATCATTTGGATACCACCTGGATCATTGTCCCACCACACCCATCTCACCCATCCAACCCATGTGATGTCACCCATCCCACCATGTGATGTCACCCATCCCACCATGTGATGTCACCCATCCCACCATGTGATGTCACCCATCCCACCCCTCCCATGTTCCCACCACCCACTCGAGTCCGACAGTTTCGGGGGTTTCTCGAGCCGCAGATGCCGGATGGCCATGCAAGACGATGGAGACATTGACACGGCAAACGTCGTGATGTGGCAACACCGTGACTTGAACGAACTGACAAAACTGGCGAACTTTGTGTTACCCGTGAAATATGGTGGCGGAGGGATTTCGAGGGTTCAACTTGATGGAGGAGACATTGAAACCACCCATGAACAGACTAGCTTGCAGATAAACTGAGCAAGCGATTTAACAAATGTTAGGGGGTTAATGATTCTCGAGCTTTTGGGAAGTACGTAAACTTTTTGTAGATAGTGTCGATTTCTGTTCATGCCGCCGCGTTCGGCCTTGTAACGGGTTCGGATGGTTTCCTCGACGCTTCGCGCTTGCGTGATGCCCCTCCACCGCCCTCTTCCCCCCCTCCTCTCCCCGCCAATTCGCGTCTCCCTCGCAACGCGGCTGAAGTGGAATCAGCGTGCCTTATAAATTTGCCAGCGAGTCAGTTTCAAAAATAGACGTATCTCCCTCGCATCGCAACGCGGCTGAAAAAACAGCGTGCTATAGAAATTGATAGAGAGTCCGCCTCGTGCCTTGTCGCCTTCCCGTTTGCGAATTCTCGACGCTTCGACGCTCGTTTCTACACCCAGCCCGCTCGCGTTCCGTTATCGCCTCTCCGTGTTCTCCGCCTTTCCGCCTTCACCTTTTCGCCTTTGCCCTTGCGCGCACGCCGCTCCGCCTTCTCCGTTCTCCACACGCCTTTCTTCCTTTGACTTTCCGCACGCGCCCTCCCGCTCGCACCCTCTCCCGTCGCGCCTTCCCCTGCGCCTTCCCCCGCGGGCCTTTTCCCCGCGCGCCGTTCCCCGGCGCGCCGTCATGGTCGCGTTTATCGTAGGCAACAGCCATCCCGCCATCCCCGTTTCCGCCATCCCCACTTCCAGAGATTACTCCGCCGGTTCCGCCGCCGTCACTGCCGCCACCGCCAGTGCCGCCGCAGTTTCCGTCAATTCTGCCGCCTCCGCAACCTGCGGCTGCGCAAGCAGGTCGTGCAAGCCGACAAATTTAGACCGAACGGATGGAGAGCAGGTTTCGAATCCTAGCCGTCCGACCACTTGTTGCGGAACCGACGGTCAAGATGTAGCTAAACGGACGGAGCTGATTCCAGGCTTGCCTGATGACGTGGCAGTAAAATGCCTCGCGCGAGTGTTGATCGTCTGCCACCACAGGTGCGGTGCCCTTCCCCTGTATCTACGTTGATTGAAGTTATGAGAATTCTCAAAAGTTCAATCAACGCATGCCACCACAGGTGCGTCTCTTTCACCCTTTCCTCCTCTGCCTCCTCGCCCACCTCCTCTCCCCTTTCCCCGCTCCTCTGCCCTTCCCTTCTCCTCCTTGAATTCTCCCCCTCCTCCCCTTCCCCCCCCCCCCCCCCCCCCCCCCCCCCCCCCCCCCCCCCCCCCCCCCCCCCCCCCCCCCCCTTCCCGCACCTCTCGTCTCTCCTTTATCCTCACCTCTTCTCCTGCTTCTCCCCTTTCCCCTCTCCCGGCGCAAGGTGCTAGGCCGTCTTCCACGCATGGCGACTTTTGAGGCGCCGCAAAAGCTGTCTTCCGTGCATGGCACGCTCTCTTCTCTCCTCTTTCCACCTGCTCTGTCAGCTCATGTCTTCCTTTGCTCTCCTCCTTCTTCTCCCTCTCCGCCCTCTCCCCCCCATTACAGCTGCAGGGCTGTATCCCGCACGTGGCACGCTCTCTTCTCATCGCCGCTCCTCTTTTCCGCCCGGCGAATCGAGGGGCGGCAGGAGCAGCTGCTCGCGCTCTTCCACGGCGATCCCTCTGTTTCGGGTGGCTGGCTGCTGCACCAATCACAGCGCGACACCTGTCCCACATCCAACCAATCACAACTCACAGGTCCCTCACCCTCATCCAACCAATCACGCAGCGCCACGTGGCGCCGCCGGCGCATCCCTCCCATGACCCCCACACTCAACACCTACGGGCTGTCGGGGTTCGGCCTGGCTGCTGCTGACACGTGTCTCTTTCTGATTGGCGGAACAGTTTTCGACGCCACCGCCTATCCATCCGATCGACCCGTACCCACGTCCGGAGTGTTCTCGTTTGATTCTATCTCCAACCAGTGGCGCCAGTGTGCTTCTATGGCTCAGCCTCGAGCCTCTTTTGCCGCTGCCTCCCTCCCTTCTCATCCTCCTCGCCTTTCTTCCAACATCAACAGCAGCAGCAGCGGCGGCGGCGGCAGCTGCAGCAGCAGCAGGAACAGCAAAATTACAGGTTTGTCGGTTAGTAGGGTTGGCGGATCAGTGGTGGCAGGGGAAATGGAGTGCACGGGAAGTAGGGGAGCGGTTCTAGTGGCAGGGGGGAGTCACAGCCCGGCCCCTGCCATGGCTGGCAGTGTCCAGCTGGCAGCCGCTGAGTGGTATGACGTGGCAAGTGACACGTGGCATCCTCTCCCGCCACTGCCAGAGGCCAGAGGGGGTTGTGTGGGTGCACTTGTGTCTTTGTCTGCTGGCGACTGTGACAGTAGGGGGGGCAGAGGTGACAGCGGCAGGGGCAGGTGTGACAGCAGGGGGGGCCAATGTGACAGTACCAAGGGTAAGTGTGACAATAGCAGGGGTAGCTGCAGGGGGGAGTGCTGCAGCGGCAGCGAGAATAACACGATGATGGCGGTCGTGGGAGGGTTTGGTTCGGAACTTGACTGGCAGGTACCAGCAGGAGTGGTGGGTGCTGCGGCTCCGGTCCGGCAAATCCGAGCCTTCCTCCCCTCCGCTCGTGCATGGGTCTCAAACCCCTCCAACACCTCAAATCCATCAGACGTTTCAAATCCGTCAAACGCGGCAATGCTGAATTCAAACCCTGCAGCAGCTGCTAGTGGTGAGCAGGTTTCGACACTGTCGTCAGCTGCTGGTGAGTCTGGGTTGAACCTCGCAGCACCAGCAGCAGCAGCAGCAGCAGCAGCAGCAGCAGCAGCAGCAGCAGCAGCAGAGGCGGTGAGGGGGGTGTGCTTGCCGGTGGAGCGGCGCACTGCAGGCCCGGTGGCAGTGCTGCAAGGGCGCCTGTACATGCTCGCTGGTAACACCCTCCTCCGCCTCGGGCCCGCCTCGGACATCCCTCACATCACGATTACCACCATCACCACCACTAGCACCACCAGCAGCAGCACCTCCACCACCACCAGCACCAACAGCAGCACCGCCAACAGCAGCAGTGCCAACAGCAGCAGTGCCGGCAACAGCGGCGGCGGTGGCAGCAGCACTGGAAACAGTAGCAGCAGCAGCAGCAGCAGCAGCCATCCGAAGCAACAGCAGCAAGCTATGCCGTGGGTATGGCACCGAGTCACCACCCTGCCGTTCGCCGACCCCACAGCGGGGTTCTTTGCTCTTAACAGCGAGCTCTTTGTCGTCCCCACCACTCACTCCCTCTTTGGTTGCGGCCGGTCCAGGCGCCTTCCCCCCCAGCAGCACGCCTACTGCCCCAGGACTAACACGTGGAGGACTGAACCGCTGGTTGCTGTGCTTCAAGGGGTGAGGATGGATGGCCGGGGAGGGGCAGGAGGAGCAGGGGGAGCAGCAGGAGGAGGAGGGGTTGGAGGAAGGGAGCTGCTGAAGACGGCTGTAGTGATGTGCATGTAGGCAGCGCTTGCTCACAGACCCCACAGCTGAATTCTTAATGGGTATGGCATCGAGTCACCACCCTCCCATTTGCCGACCCCACAGCGGGGTTCTTTGCCCTCATCAGCGAGCTCTTTGTCGTCCCCACCACTCACTTCCGCTTTGGTTGCAGCCGTTCCAGCCGCCTCTTGCGCAGCTCGCTTCATTCACGCCGCGGCAGCAATCTGGTCCAGAAGCACCCCGCCACGAGGCGCACGTGGCGCACCAACACGTGGCGCACTGAGCCGCTGGTTGCGGTGCTTCAGGGGGTTAGGATGGATGGCCGGGGAGGGGGAGGGGGAGGGGGAGGGGGAGGGAGAGGGGGAGGGGGAGGGAGAGGGGGAGGGGGAGGGGGAGGAGGAGGCGGAGGAGGGGTTAGAGGTAGGGATTTGGGGACGGCTTTGGTGATGTGCATGTAGGCAGATGATTAGTCAACACGTGATTAGTCACACCACCAACAACACCCGCAGACCATTTGCCATCATTTAATACGGTAGATGCTGTGTACATACTACATACCTCAAAGTGCAAGTCTTTCTTTCCCTATAAAGCTGTGCTGATTTGCTGTTGGCTGGCTTGGTTGCAAGTGCCCTAGATATCAGACTTTTTACGTTGATTCAGCGTCCATTCAGACATTTTTTAGGTACCAGGTCTGAACTGTAAGTTTTTTTTAATGTACCTTCTCTGATTCGTCAGAGTTTTTTTTTATGTAGTGGCTGAAATTTCAGACAAAATGTAGGGGTGTAAGCTGAGCCTCAGCCACGTTTCGGGGGTGCACTCTGAAACGGGTACTGCAGGGGTCCGCCAGCCTGGCGGCATGTTTGCACTAACACCGTCAATCACGGGCGGGAAACGGAACATTTCCCAAGCGCGGCACCGCACCGCACAGTCGCGTTGGGCCAGGGATGCTGTAATCTGGCTCAATTCCAGCCAATCGCTGCAGCGCAGCAGGCAGTGTTGGCAAGATTCCCTGCCAACGCATAGCTTGCACCCGGACAACACCACAACCACCCACCCCCCTCCACCATCCACCGTGCCAACGCATAGCTCGCAGCACGCTGCAGCTCTCACGTGACCACATCCATCCACCCCAGTCACCCCACCTTCCCTGCACCCACGACCAGGTGCCGTGCATGCAGTGCAGTGACCAGCAGGGAGATGAGCGGTCCAAATACGAGGACCCCTCATCTTCCTCATCATCGCCCTTCGTGGGGGTCACTCCGTGCCCTGACTCTCTCGCTTCATTCAATTTCTTCGCCAGATAGTATTGCTGGAACCCTTGTTTCTGACTCTCCCTCGCTCTCGCAAAACCAGTGCTCGGCAGACTCATGGCAGCCACAGGCGCTGCCGCCGAATCGCCCGACGATGATGACGAGACAGATCGACGGCCTGCGTCAGACGCAGTGACCGGCCTGGACTTTCTACGAGCATGCTTGCCGACGCATGTCCCACCGACTACTCCACCGTCGCAACCTAGCTCTAGCCGTCCTCCAGTTTCCGTTCAACCTGAACCTGTCCCCACAGCCGTCACTGAACCGGTCGAAGCTGCGCCACAGTCTGTGCCCAATGAGGCGTCCGCTGAAGCACCATCCCGTCCCGCACCACCGTCGAAGCTGCGTTACCGTCAGACCACGTTTCCGTGGGCAACTCCTCCTCCTCCATCGACCGTTGAAGCTCCAGCGAGAGTCGAATCTCCCATGCAGGGCAGCTCAAAGCCCACCGACAAGTCTGACTCCGATAAGTTAAAGTTGAAATACGAAGAAGCACACTTTCGTTTTAAAACAAAGTGGTCTACCGATTATGACTGGCTTATTCTAACTAAAACCTCTACCGGTGCCCCAAGTTTTAAGTGCAGCATTTGCCTGGAGTTTGCAGGACTTAGAGGCAAGTGTGGACGGGGTGGTGAGGGCGCGACCGACGTGCAGACGCAGGCCTTCAAGAAGCATGAAGGCACGGTGAAGCATCGTTTTGCACTGAAGCGGCAGGAGGACCTCCTCCAGAAGTATGGCGATCAACATCGCATCGACCTACACCCGAAAGCGCAGGACAAGGAGATGTTGCAGATTTCAGCGCTAGTGGAGTCGCTGTACTTCATGAGCTCGTGCAACGAGTCCATGGACTCTTGGATTCGGCTTGTGCGCTATCTCGCGAAGAAGAAGGTGCCCGGCTTTCCAGAGCAGGGCTACGGCACGTACTACAACACGTAAGTTTCTTGCGGTTGTAACCGCCGAAACGTTGATTTCTTCTAACTCACAGTCGCTAACTGCCTCTGGTCTTGTTTTTTTTATACAGGTATGGCTTCGGAGAGTTAACACAGGCAATTTCAACATGGCTCCAAACAACACAGCTGGAACACCTTCTGACGAGCCCCTTCATCGGGATCACCCTTGGACGAGAGCACAGACCGGCGGCGCGGCAAACACATGATCGTGTTTGCAACCTTCCTGCATGACAAGCAAGTTGTGACAGAGTTCTTTGCTCACCTCACGGTTGAGAAAGCTGACGCTGCATCCCTGTGTAGTTTGCTGCTCTCCCACATCAGGGCTGTCGGCGTGGACCTCCGCCGTATTTCGGGAGTGAGCACGGACGGCGCGATGGTGATGGTGGGAGTCCACACCGGTGTGGTGGCTCGTCTTCGGATGCTCATCCCCAACCTGGTTTTGTTCCACTGCATCGCTCACAGGTGCGTTGTTGTTGTTTTATTGTTTGTTTAGTCGTTTAACAGTAACATACGATGCTAATCATGCTTGTTTGTACGTCTTGCAGGGAGGCATTGGCTGCCAAAGCCGCTGCAGAGTCTATACCCACTTTCAACATGGTGGACGACGTCATCCGTGCTGTCGCTGAGTACCTGGGGCGATCATCACCGTGGAATCAACGGTTCATGGAGCTGCAGGAGATATTTACCTCCTCCAACCTCGAGGTGCAGGGGATCCACGAGGTGCGGTGGCTTTCAAGGGGTGCTGCGGTCGCCCGCTTCGTCAAGGTCCTCCCAACCATCATGGTGATGCTGTCAGAGTGGAAGGACTAGACGATGTACGAGCTCGTCACGTCCTACCGGTTTCAGTTTCTGCTTCGGTTCCTTGCGGACGTTCTGGACCTCCTCAACATCCTCTCGAAGGTTTTCCAGCATCGTGAGGTAAGAAGGTTGAGTAATCTTGTGTTTATTTTAGCCGGAAACCGTGCTCTAACTAAAACTTCGTTATGATGTGGCAGCTCGACTACCCATTGGTGCACACACAGATTGTGCGCACAACATCTCTCCTGGAGAGTCGGTACATCGACTGCGGAGATGACTTCGGCGGCGGGCATAACGAGCGGCTTCATCGATTCATCGAGAAGCATGGGCCGCAGGGGACACCAGAGATGGTGGTGGAAGGTGTGTTGTTGGATGGGAGTCTCAACCGCTTCAAGATCACCCTTCACGAGCGCCAAGTGGCGAACTATCTCGGGGCGGGGCATCACGATGCGTGTGTGGCGCTCTGCACTGACTTTGCCGAGGGCCTCGTCGAGGAGCTTCAGTCTAAGCTCAGAGACCTCGACTCTCTGTCTGGCGTGCGGCTATTCATACCTGACGAGTGGCCTCCGAATTGGGATAGGAGTGCACGGCAGGCACAGTGCCTTGAGTGGCTGTTGTTGCTAGTCACTCTGTTCCGCGCCGACGACTGCGAAGAGATTTTGCTAGGTCAGTTAGTGAAGTGATGCTCGTTCGACTGATGGCTAAACCGTTCCGTACTAATCCCTCGCTGTGTCCTATGTTGCAGGCATTGACAAGAAGCGTGCCGTGAAGGAGCTGCGGACTCTGTGCCCAGTCCTGGCCAGAGCCCCTAAGAGCGAGCGCAAGTTCAACACGTGATTGACTGCAATCCTCAAGACACATGACTGGGAGCAAGCCTACCCCAACCTCGTCAGACTCTGGGTGGCGGTTGCAGTGCTGCCTCTAAGCACCGTCGAGTGCGAGAGAGGATTCTCTCGTCAGAATCTCATCAAGACGTGGCAGAGGGGTAGTTTAAAAGACTGTAGGCTCAGTGACTTGCTGTGTATGTTTATGCTAGACTATGAACTGGACGTGCCGGGGATTGTAGAGATCTGGCGCAGCTATAAGAAACGCCGGCCAGTGACGGGACCTGCTGCAAGACACATGGAGCCCCAGAGAGCTGGGAAGGAGGCTGCAGAGGAGCCAATAGTTCAGCCGGCAGCTGGAGTAGTGTCACATGGGATAGAATCTGATTCAGATAGTTGAAGTGTTTTCAATGTATATAAAACTGGCAGCCTACAAACTTAGTGTAACTCTGAACTTACAGCCAAAAAAAAAATAGTGTAGTATGAACTTTCAGACTTCATATTGCATGCAAGTCTGACTGACAGAGTTTAGATGAGGGTGTACTCTGACCCAACAGCGTGTCCTAAAACGAATCTAGGGCCCTGCAAGGCTTGCTAGATGCACATTCGCCCGTCCCTTTCCCAGTCAGACACCCTGTAACCAAGCATGCTCTGATACGCATTTGTGTAACTGAATGGAGCATTTCTTCCGGGAGGTACCTTAGTCTCTCCATGTGCATCACAGCTTCGATGCCTCTGTAACACTCACGGATATTTCTTTACAGTGAGTGTTACACACTGGTTCCCTGCGTCCTCCACCTGACCACCTCCCTACACGGCCAGAACAGCCCAGGTGTCACTCATAAACCACTTCCTGAGAACCCCTTTGTCACTCCAGTCCAGAACTAGTCACACAATTTCCATCCTTCCTGCAACAAGCCTAAACAGGTCCAAGCCAATTCCAGTTGAACTGCCAAAAGCCTGTCACCTGCCGAGTTTCAAGCCACTACTAGCTGCCTACTGAATGCCTGCAATGCTCCCACCATCATCTTAACACAAAGCCATTAGGCGAAGATTCACTAACACCCCTTCCTCTCCCACCTCCCAGCCGAACCTACAAAGGGAAATAGCTCCCGGCGACGCCAGCTCTCCTCATCTTCTTCCTCTCAATCAATCCTTCGATGGTCCTATCCACCATATCTACGAACACACCCTCCTCTCCCACCTCCCCCTCTTTCGTATGATCCCTTAGAAGCAGCCTCGGAATATGCTTATAAAGCTCCTCCCTCATCTCCCTCTTCCTCTCCTCCGAAATCCCCCCAAGCACCTCCCCGATCCTAACCTTCCGACCAATCACATCGTCTGAATCCACCATCACCGACACGTTCCTCCGAGCCTCATCTCCAATAGCGAAGAACCAGGGGTACTGATAATCAAACGTGCCTGGAGCAAACACTACAGGAATGCACCCTGCTATTATCGAGTCAAAGAATGACCTTCTAGTGAGGCTGTCCCCGATTGGTTGAAGGCAGAATTCGGACTGAAGCATGACACCTGTCACTCTCCTAGGATCCATACATCCCCTCAGCGGAAAGTCTGGCTCAATCTCATCTTCCTCTCCCTTCCCCTCCATGCTGTCCCTCTCCTCCTTCCGTTTCTGCGCCTGCCTGCCTATATCCGCCGCTGCTGCAGTTGCCGCCTCCGCGTCAGCAACAGTACACTCTAAAAAGATGCATCTCTTAGGGTCGTTCTCACAGTCGTTCAGCAAGATCCCTCTTAGCGAGCCCTCCCACGTCGCATGCGCTCGCTTCCCGCCTACAAACGAGTACAGGTATGGCCGAGGCTGCTCCCGAACATGCCGAACCCATCCCTGGAGCTCTGCCGAGCCTACCGGATGGAAGCAGGTCGGGTAGGGAACAGAAAACACCTCCCGTTCGTACCACTCGGGAGGAGCCTCCACTGTAAGGAGTGTGACGTTCTTGAAGGTCGGTCGCCACCACAGATCAGTCCCCCATCCCTCAGGCTTATCCTGATCGCGCTTAAAATCCCAGATCGGACGGCCGAGAACGAGCACGTGGTCGCCACGATTCACCATCCTTTTGAAATCCGCGTTCTCCTCGAGTAAATACCTCTCCAGCTCAATAACCGGGTCGTCTCGCTTCTCGAAGAGCCCATGTTCCACGAGCGACCAGATCGACCAGCCCAGGTACGCCGGGATGAACAGGAAGTCTGCCGAGCCTGGGTCCGAGGTTCGGCAGGGGTGCTTCAGGAGACGCGAGTGGAAGATGAGGGCCAGCATGGAATTATCAGTGGCATACCATTGGTTCCTCCAACCCTCGCTCTCCGCTACCCTGCTGCCGCCGTTGCCGTTGCCGTTGCCGCTGCTGCTGCTGCTGATTGAAAGCAGCCGTCGACCATCAGGTTTCGCCTTGCTGCTCCTGCTGCTAGCACGGCTGCTGCGCTCCTTCCCCTCAAACGTGTCGTCCCAGGGAGGCAGTCTGGTTCCCAGCCCGCCGTGCCTGCTGGTGGCGCAGAAACCCTTGATGTTGGTGTCCAGGCAGTCTTCCAGCAGCACGCTGTTCAATTTCGAGGGTAAATTGTACACATACACCTTCCGACCCTCGCACGCTTCCGATTCTGGACCCCCGCCTTTGCGACTGCTACTCGCGTGGGGATTCCTTGCGTCGCCGTCGTTTCTCAACCCGCTGATCTTCGTCCTCTTGCTTGGCGTGCCCTTGATGCTGCCCTTTAAGTTTCCCGAATCGTCTTTCCCTCCCAGATTCTGCAAAAGCTCTTGTTCACGCTTCTGCCGTTCCGCTTGAGTCTCCAAGCGTGGTGTTGCCGTTTGACCCTGCTCATTCTGTTGATCCTTCTCATCCTGCTGATTCAGTTGATCCTGCCGATTCTTTTCATCCTGCTCCTCCTGCTCATACTGCTGGCTCTGCTGTTCCTGCTGATTCTGTTGCCATGGCTCCTCAGGGTCCAGGCCGCTCATTTTTGCTCCCACGTCGTCAACAGAAACGGCTGAATCCGACACCTCCGTTGCTCTGTGCAGTTCCTTAGCATTAAAAGACGGAGACGAGATCGGTGTCTTGAATGAAGGCCCGAGAGCTACGAAGTAGATTACCAGCAGAACCACCCCGATTGTAGAACAAGTGGCAGAGGAGGAAGGGAAGCACAGCGTCGAGACGCGATCTCGATGATGTCCCATCATGAACTGCGACACGTCGCTGCTGACACAGTCTTCAAATGAGAAATAAAAGTTATCACGAAAGCACTAAGAAACGGCCAAGATTCGAAGCTAGAGAAATCACGGCCGTTCAGCAGGAGCTTAATTTGATCGTACGAGCTGAGTTTTACGATGAAACCACTTCAGCTACGGCAATTCAGGGCTGACTTCATGCGTCCGCAACAGATTCTCGTGAGCTACGAGTCATATACTGGTGGTGGCTAGGAGGTGAATAATGAGGCACACCGAAATTAGTCAACGAATGAGCTGTGTTGGAACTGTTCCCAAGAAAAGCAGCTTCAGGGACCCTTCTCAATCATTCCGCGATAACTTCTATGAACCCCATCCCCACCTAGGGAATTCCTTCCTTTTCAGTGGCGCTCATGCTTACCTCTGAGAGAACCTTCGAATCAAAAGACTTCTCGACTGGGCAGTACCCGCAGCGCGCTTGCGACAGCGGTTTGGACACAGGCAGTGCTAGTCAGCGAATCGGTAGGGTGCTGCGAAGTCAACCACGAAGCAGCTGAGACCAGGAGCGAACCGTTACAGACTGTTACCACACATCAGCATCCTGGCCTGACGTGCTACTGTAAGGTCAAAGATCGGTGTTCGCCCAACTCGACAACATTTATGCGCCCAACTTGTGCTCTGACAGTGTCAGAACGAGCATATACGACGACGCGTTAGCAAATTTAGTACAGGTCCTACACATCCTAACGGAAAACAGAATTTTACCCTCGTCTACGAAGTTAGCTTACAAAACATCAAATCAAAATGCTTGAGAAACACTCTTCCACCTTATTTCCAACTTAAAAACCGCCCAGAACTCACCGACTGTTGAACCAAGGGAAATAATCACCAGCAGTTCCAGCTTCTCGCATTTTTTTCCTCTCAACCAGGCCATTAATAGTCATGTCAACCATATCTTCGAAAAGTCCCTCCTCTCCCACCTCTCCCTCTCTTGCATGATCTCTCAGCAACAGTCTTGGAACATGAAGCCGCATCTCTTTTCTCATCTCCTCTTTCCTTTCCACAGATATCTTCCCCAACACCTCCCCAATCTTCACTCGGCCTGAAATCACCTCTTCAGGGTCCACCATGACTGCAATCTTGCGCCGTGCCTCCGGCTTCGGGTCAAAGAACCACGGATACTGGCTGTCAAAAGTATCCGTGGAAAACACCACCGGTATGCAGCCTGCTATGATCGAGTCAAAGAAGGACCGGCGGGTTTGGCTGTCTCCCACTGGCTGTAGACAAAACTCAGACTGCAGCATTGCACCAGCAACTCTCCTGGGATCGGTGCATCCAGGAAGATCCACCTTAGGCTCTTCCTCCTCGATATTCTCAGCTATTCCCTCTCCTTTTCCTCCTGCTGCTGCTGTCTTGGCTTTTCGACTGGCCGCCTCCCGGCCTATCTCGGCTGCTGCTTCAGTTACCGCCTCCGCATCAGCACTGTAACATTCCAAAAGTAAGCATTTCTCTGGTTCGTTCTCGCATTCCTGCAGTAGAGCTCCTCTCAGCGCACCCTCTATGGTCTCCTTAGCCCGCCTGCCGCCTACAAACGCGTACAAATACGGCCGGGCGTGGTCACGAGCGTGATTCATCCAACCCTGCAGCTCTGCCGAGCCGACAGGATGAAACGATGTCGGGTAAGGAATGGAAAACACTTCTCTGCCGTACCACTCCCGTGTGGCCTCTACAGTAAGCAGTGTGACATTATTGAAGGTCGGTCGCCACCAAAGATCCGAGCCCCACTCTTTCACCCTCCTGAAGTCCCAAATTGGCCGGCCGAGCACCAGCACATGATTCCCTTGATCCACTAGCCTCTTGAAATCTGGGTTTTCTTCCAAAAGATAGCGCTCGAGTTCGATTCCCGGCTGGTCCCGATCTACGAAGAGCCCGTGTTCCACGAGCGACCAGATCGACCAGCCCAGGTACGCTGGGATAAACAGGAAGTCCGCCGAGTCTGGGTCCGAGGTTCGGCAGGGGTGCTGCAGGAGTCGCGAGTGGAAAATTTCCTCGTTATTGACGCTCTCGGTTAAAAACCACTGGTTCCGCCACCCCTCACTAGCGCCACTGGCGCTTCTACTTGTTTCACTGCTCCCGCCACTGCTCCCACCGCCGCCGCTGCCGCCGCTACCACTGCTGCTGCTGCTACCGCTGCCGCTAGTCGAGTTGTTGCTGCTGCCGCTGCCCTCAACCGCATCGTCCCAGGGAGCGAGCCTGGTTCCCAGCCCGCCGTGGCGGCTGGTGAGGCAGAACCCCTTGATACGGCTCTCCAAGCAATCGTCCACCATCCACTGGTTGAAGCGCGCCGATAGCGGGTACACGTAAATCGCCCGCCCCTGGCACGCAGCCCCCACAGATACGCTCGCGGAGGCCCCCATTTCAACAGGTAAATCCGCCGCACCAGATGCTTTCGCGGCGGCCGTGGCAGGGATGTCGAGAGAAGCGGCGGGGGTGGCCGTCGCGGTGGTGTTACTAGCAGAGCCCGTCGTGGCCCTGGGCTTCTCGCCCCTGCCCGCTCTACCTCCGCCCCTTTCCCCACCCGCGTCCTTTCCCCCTCTGGCGGGGTTGGGGGTTGCCGTCGCAGCGGTGTTACTAGCAGAGCCCGTAGCAGCTGTGGGTTTCTCGCCCCTGCCAACTCTACCGCCGCCCCTTTCCGCATCCGACTTTTGAGACGTCTCAAGAGCAGCGGGGGTGGTGGCCGTCGCGGTGGTGTTACTAGCAGACTCGCCCGTCACAGCCGAGGGCTTCTCGCCCCTGCCAGCACTTCCGCCGCCCCTTTTCCCACCCGCGTCCCTTCCCCCCCTGGCCGCGCGCTTCCGTTTGTCCCCGCCAACAGCGCCTTGAGAGGCGGCATGGGAAGTGTCTAAGCGAGTGCTGCTGCTGCTGGGGGGCACATCGACGTTCTTCCGATGTTTCCGCTTTGGTTTGATTTGTTCCGTGCTATCCTGTTTCTTTTGCCCCTGCTGCTGCTCCTGTTTCTGAGGGCCTAGTTGTTCCTGCTGCTGGGTTTGCTGCGTGCGCTGCTGCTGCGTTCCCTGCTTCTTTTGCTGAGCGCGCTGCTCCTTTTGTTGCGTGAGCTGCTCCTGTTGCTGCGCACGCTGCACTTTTCGCTGCGCTTCCTGCTCCTTTTGTTGCTCGCGCTGCTCCTTTTGCTGCGTGAGCTGCTCCTGGTGCTGCGCACGCTGCTCCTGTTGCGGCGCACCCTGCTCCTGTTGCTGCGCGCGCTGCTCCTGTTGCGGCGCACCCTGCTCCTGTTGCTGCGCGCGCTGCTCCTGTTGCGGCGCACCCTGCTCCTGTTGCTGCGCGCGCTGCTCCTGTTGCGGCGCACCCTGCTCCTGTTGCTGCGCGCGCTCCTCCTGCTTCCGAAGAGCCTGCATTTCCTCCTCATGCAACAGCTCCTGCTCCGTCACCCATTGCGCCTCCCTCGCCAGCTGCACCGATTTCTTCTGCTGCGTATATTCGTCGCCCTGCTGCGTATCATCATCTCGATCCTGATTCGTAATGTCTCCATACTTCTCGTTCCCACTCAACGCCCCGGCTTCCCGTTTTGGCCACAGCTCCTGCTCCCATTGCGCCTCCGGAGCCAGTTGCGCCAGCTGCACCGATTTCTTCTGCTGCGGATCTTCATCCCACTGCTGCGTATCTTCATCGCCCTGCTGGGTATTATCATCATTGCCCTGCTGCGTATTGTCATTCTCTCCGTACTTCTCTTTGCCAATCGAGGCCCCCGCTTCCCGTTTTGTCCGCACGACTGTTACTTGCACGCTCGTTGCCAACCACTGCCCGTCCGCCTCCGTAGCTTTAGTTACATGGACGGACGGGAAGGCGGAAGGGGCGGAAACGAAGGGCTGGGTGGCTCGTGGAACGAGCTTTAATGGAGGGCCAAGGGTTGCGAAGTAGACGATCAAAAGGAGGACCCCTAGAGCGGAGCACGTGAAGTGGGAGAGCAGGAAGGGGAAACGGGACGTTTTTTCGCAGTAATGCCCCATACTTCAACGCGGATACAGTACTACGGCTAGTGCGAACTTGTGAGGAAAATAACCTGTATTTCTTGCGACGAGGAGCCTCTAATGGGTGCGTCGCTGGGTGGTAGTTCTTTTGAAGGCGGGTCGTATCAAGGCTGTGGTACTAGTCGTATCGGCGGGCAATCTTGGATATTTGAGTCGACTGGAAAATCAGGCCGTGGTCGTCGATTTGGCGGGTGTATATTGGCGAGCGCACTTGCACAAAACCCGTTGAGCGTCTGATGCGGCGGTAGATTTGGTGTACGAGAATAAGAGCGAGGTGACGGAGAAAGAACGGCCTAGGGGCGTGGACTTCTACTGGAACGAAAGGTGGAAAGGTGCTCTGACTGTATTTCATTCGGCAAATTGCTCCCGCTTTGCTGCTCCTTCTCCTGCTGATAGAAAGGCTATTCACAATGGATAATAGCCCCCGCCGGTCCCTGGCCCTGGCACCGGCCTGTAACCCGACCGTGCTTCTCTCCTACTGGCAACATTAGCCAGTCTAGGTAACCAAAAACCAGTCGTAACTGCCGGCAGCTCGCATCGTCGTAACGCAAGCTGCAAGCTGACAGAGGAGAGAAGGTATGGGGTGAAGCTACAGCGAAGAGAGTAAAACTTCCAATCCAGTTCGCATTCTCCAACCCAACCACATTTTTGTTTTGTGGGAAATGCGCGCTTCCCCTACAGACCGTCCGTTTTGCATCTGCACATTGAGATGGGGGGCATTGATGTGCGCGATTCGAATAAATCCGCACATCCACCTGCAGTTCACATTTCAATTCGAGCAGATGCCGGTGGGGCAATTGGCGTGGCGGGCCGGGCATCGGCAGACGAAGATGATTGGCTGAGCTTCCGTAGGTTTCGCCAAGGAAAGTTTCCGCTGACCTTGAAACACGGTAATAAGCGTTTCAATTTGCGCAAACGCGGTTCGAAATCTCAGTCAAGTAGGTTATGGGTGGTGGGGCGTACGGCCTTTTTCTCTACGTGCTCGTCTCCTTTTGGAACTTCACCGTCTTTCCGAATTAAGAGATTGAAAATAAATATTATTATGTGATACAGAACTATACCACTAAGTGCACACCATGCACTTACATTTCTTAAACTGAAATGCTTATTGAGCAATTCTGTAATATCTACAGATGGGCAAAAATTCGGTGACAACTACTTCAATTACTGTTGACGTTGAACTATTTCCTACACCTTTCTTTGCTTATGTCCCCTGCAACGCTTTCCCCATCCCTATCCATCCTTTTCTTCTTAAGCCGACCGCCACTTCTTCCTAGCCTAGCCTGATCTTTCGCAGCGGTGGTGGTGGTGGTGGTGGTGTGATCTAACGAGTCTGCAACTCTTTTCAGGCTGTAACGAGCCACCGGTGGTGGTGGTGGTGGAACATGTGCATCAGCATGTGCGTCAGCACGTGCAGGTGGATGTTGACTGTCAGCCGCATCCTCCTTTGTGAGCTCCTCCTTTGTGAGCTCCTCCTTAATAAGCTCCTCCTCCACGTGCCTCTTTGTCAGCAAGCCTCGCATCCACCCTTCTGACATGGCCCTCCGCCCCGCCCCTTCCTCCTCGTCCTTCTTTCGGCTGTTTGACAGTGGCGGCATGTCCTCTGGGCTATGTGCCAGCTCAGCCTCCTCCACCACACCATCCTGACATTGTACAGAAATGATATCCTCCCTCTCCAACCCCTCCTGCCTCTCCTTCCTCTCCTCCCTCTCCTCCCTCTCCTCCCTCTCCTCCCTCTCCAACCCCTCCTGCCTCTCCTCCCTCTCCTCCCTCTCCTCCCTCTCCAACCCCTCCTGCCTCTCCTCCCTCTCCTCCCTCTCCTCCCTCTCCTCCCTCTCCTCCCTCTCCAACCCCTCCTGCCTCTCCTTCCTCTCCTCCCTCTCCTTGCTCTCCTCCCTCGTCACTCGGTTCTGCCTCTCTCCTCCACCTCTCAAAATCTCTGCCTCTCCCCTCTCCTGTACCACCTCCTGCTGGAGCATCACCCCTCTCTTCTCCACCCTATCCCCTTTCTCCTCCCCATCTCGCCATTCCAACCTAGCCTCCACAACTTCTCTACGCACCACATCCTGCTGAAGCATCACCCCTCTCTGCTCCTCCCTATCCTCTCTATCTCTCTCTCGTGCCACCTCCTGCTGGAGCATCACCCCTCGCAGCTCCGCCCTATCCTCTCGGTTCTCTCCCCTAGCACTTAAAGCCTCTGCCTCTTCTCTCCCCCGCACCACCTCCTGCCGGAGCATCACCCCTCGCTGTTCCACATGCCGCAGAAGCGTCTCCAGCTCGCTTGGCCTCACAGGTTTTGTCAGGAAGTGATCCATGCCGACCTGAGAGACAGAAGGGAGAGATAGAAGGGCATAGCGTTGACTTTTGAGATCTCTCACAGCTCCCTCCGCCTCACGGGTTTTGTTAAAAAGTGGTCCATGCCGACCTGTTCACACAAAGGAGGGATAGAAGGGAGGGTATAAAATTTACTTCGGAGGTCTCTCACGGCTCGCTCGGCCTCACGGGTTTCGTCAGGAAGTGGTCCATGCCGACCTGTACACATAAGGCAAGAAAGGAAAGGTCCTGGATTGCCTTATGAGACTTCTCACAGCTCGCTCCGCCTCACGGGTTTTGTCAGGAAGTGATCCATGCCCACCTGAAAGACAGCCGGAGGAAAGGGAAAGGTACTAAGCTGATATTTGAGGATTTTCACAATTGCTTGGATTCACAGGTTTTGTCAGGAAGTGGTCCATGCCGGTCTGAAAAACAGGAGGAGGAAAGGGAAAGGTACTGGGAAACCACCTGATTGCACCACACGTTACCTGAGTGCACCGCACGTTACCTGAGTGCACCGCAGTCGTTCATGCAGCAGAGCGCTGGCAGTGAGGGCAACAATGTATGGCCGACGTAGCGACCCTTGACTCCCAGATGATGATGGTGGTGGTGGCGGTGGTTGTGGTGGTTGCGGTGATGATAGGGATGGTTGTTGTGGTGACAGCGATGGGGTTGGTAGTGGTGATGGTGATGATGGCTGTGGTGGTGGTGGTGGTGGTGGTGACACTATTGAAGGGGCAGGAGCCAGTGCTGATGGTGCTGCTGCTGCCGCTGCCGCTGCTCCTGCTGCTGCTCCTCTTCCTGCTCCTGCTGCTGCAACTGGAGTTTCAGAACAAGCCCTTTCCATCTCCTGTTGCTTCGCCTGTTCCTCTTTCTCCTGTTGCTCCTCTTGCTCCCCTTGCTCCGTTGGTTTCTCACCCCCCTCCACCTTCTCCCTTTCCTTCCTCCTGCCTCGAGCTTGGTGCAAGTACAGCCGTCGGATCTTCTCAGTGGCCTCAAAGCCGTCCATCACCGGCATGTGGCAGTCCTGAACGGTTGAGATTGATGGGAGGGAGGGGAAGGAGGGGAGAAGAGGTTATGGCAGGAGGGAATAGGTGCGGAGAGTTGAGAAGGTAGGCAATAGCGGGCTTAGGATGGGGGAGGAAAAGGAGGAGGAGGAGGAGGAGGAGGAGGAGGAGGAGGAGGAGGAGGAGGAGGAGGAGGAGGAGGAGGAGGAGGAGGAGGAGGAGGAGGAGGAGGAGGAGGAGGAGGAGGAGGAGGAGGAAGAGGAGGAGGAGGAGGAAAAGGAGGAGGAGGAGGAGGAGGAGGAGGAGGAGGAGGAGGAGGAGGAGGAGGAGGAGGAGGAGGAGGAGGAGGAGGAGGAGGAGGAGGAGGAGGAGGAGGAGGAGGAGGAGGAGGAGGAGGAGGAGGAGGAGGAGGAGGAGGAGGAGGAGGAGGAGGAGGAGGAGGAGGAGGGGGAGGAGGGAGGAGGAGGAGGAGGATGAGGAGAGGAAGTGGATCATCAGTTGAAGTCATAAAATGCCAGCATCACTCTCATCATAACACAAAAAAGAAAAAAAAAAAAAAAAAAAAAAAAAAATCAGAACAGAACAGAACAGAACAGAACAGAATAGAACAGAACAGAACAGAACAGAACAGAACAGAACAGAACAGAACAGAACAGAACAGAACAGAACAGAACAGAACAGAACAGAACAGAACAGAACAAAACAAAACAAAACAAAACAAAACAAAACGAAACGAAACAACCCACCATGAAGACCACGTCGTACTCCTTGCCCTCGCATGCCCGTACTGCCTCAGCCCCGTTGGAAGCAACGTCACTGACAACCCCCAGGCTCCTGAGCATCCTCTCAATCACCATCTGGTTGACTGCGTTGTCCTCTGCTATCAGACACGCCAGCCCCCGCCGCTGCTGCTTCCTCTCCCGCTCCACCTCCCTCTGCCGCCTCTCCTCTTCTTCCTGCCTCCTCCTCCTCTCCTCCCCCATCCCACTCTGCCTCCTCTCCTCCTCTTCCTGCCTCCTCCTCCTCTCCTCCCCCATCCCACTCTGCCGCCTCTCCTCTTCTCCCTTCCCTCTCCGCTCTTCTTCCACCTCCTGTCCCACTTTCTCTTCCATCCCCCCTCGCCACCTTTCCTCTTGCTGTTCATCCCTAGCGGAACCATCCGTTCGGTTGTCTCCTCCCTTGCTCCCACCACCTTCGTAGCAAGTTGTCGCAAACAGCTCGTCCTCTCTGTCGCCCTGTTTGCCCACACTGCACCAGCTCTGCCGCTTGTTTGGGCCAACTTTGGGAAAGGAAACTCCTGGTACATGCAACGTGGTACTGTGCTGTTGCTGCTGATATACCTTCTGCTTTTCCTCAAAAGGGGCTACTCCGACCAAAGTCGAACCTCCATACCTTAATAAATTCCCTTTGGTTTCCGCTGCCACTGCTGCCGCTGCTGCTGCTTCTGCTGCTACTGCTCCAGAATGAGGTGCCACGAACCCCTTTTGTGTAAGCATACCTGGAAAGTCGGTACCAGCAGCCTTTGCTACAGCTGAAGCACCTCCCTCACATGGTACACACACGGCTGCTCCTCCTTCTCTGACAGACCCTCCGAGTGTTGCAGATTTGCTCAAAGCCTGGTGCAGTGCGAGTGGGTGGTGGCGGTGGTAGCTGTTACTGGCATCTGCAGCTAAATTGCTGCTCCTTTCAGCCCCATCCCCAGCACCAGCAAAACCAGCAGCAGCAGCGCCAGCCGCAGAACCACTCAGCGTGCACGTCACACCGGTTTCAGGCATGCCCTCAAACGGGTGCAGCATCCCGTCTCTTAGCAAAGAGTCTTCCTTAAGCGCACACCTCGCAGCCGACGACACCGCGACATTAATCGTGAACGAAAACGTCGACCCGACGCCGACCGTGCTAATGAGACGGATGTCGCCGCCCATGAGGCTCACGAGGGATTTGGAGATGGCAAGTCCGAGCCCGGTGCCACCGTAGCGGCGGGAGGTGGAGGGGTCCCCCTGCATGAAGGCTCGGAAGAGTCGGTCGGATGCGTCTTTGGTGATTCCCACGCCTGTGTCTGAGACACTGAATGTGAGCCATGCTCGCTGCTGCTGCTGCTGCTGTGGTCGTGATGTTGAATGCTGCTGCTGCTTTTGCTGCTGCTGCGGTGGTGACGTTGAATGCTGCTGCTGCTGCTGCTGCTGCTGCTGCTGCTGCTGTTGCTGTTGCTGCTGTTGCGGTGGTGATGTTGAATGCTGCTGCTGTTGCACTGGTGGTTGGTGCTGCCGCAGCCCACATTCACTCCTAACGTCAGTTCCTCCTGTCTCATGCATCGACTCACGAGTCTTAACCCGTTTGCCGCAAGAGTCTGAATCAGTCGTGTCAAATCTAACCCTCTTTCCTCCCTTTGCTTCCTCTGCTGCGTTCCCTTTGCCCCTCCCTCGCGACTCATACCCCCTTTTTGCTAAGCCCTCCAAGCAACCCACCACATTCTCTTTTACTCCTTGCCCCACCACACTCTTCTTCTCTCCCTCCTGCCTCTCACCTCCCTCTACTCCCAGAACAACAGCAACAACAGCAGCAGAGGCAGAAACAGTATCACGAGTGGCAGCAGCAGCTGCAGTACCAGCGCCAGGACAAGCAGAGGTATCAGCATTAGCTGCTTGACTAGCTGCAGCAGTAGCAGCTCCTCTTGCAGCTAGAACTTGCTGTATCTCTTCCTCAGTAGACCGCCGAATTGATACTCGCACCTCCCCACTGCTGCGTAGCAAGAGGGAACAAAGGGAGGCAATCAAGAGATGAGGGAAAGGAATTAGCGGGAAGTGTTGCTGCAGTGGCGGCAGTAGCAGCTCCTCCTGCAACCAAAAGTTGCGCTATCTCTTCCTCAGTAGACTGCCGAATTGATACTCGCACCTCCCCACTGCCATCCACATAGCAATTGGGAAGAAAGGAGGAGAAGACTATGAGATCAAAGGAGCAACGAGAGTGGCAGCAGCAGTAGCATTTCCTCTTGCAGCTAGAACTTTGCTGTATCTCTTCCTCAGTAGATTGCCGAATTGAAACCCGCACCTCCCCACTGCTGCGTAACAAGTGGGAAGAAACAGACAGGACAGGAGCTCCTCTTACAGTCAGATCTTGCGCTATCACTTGCTCCAGTGGCACCTCCCATTTGCAAGACAGGAAAACTAAGCAGACATGAAAAGGATAGAGAGAGTCTGTGTACAAAAAAAAAAAAAAACAAACAAAACAAAACTGGTTTTTACCTATATGATGTTGCTCAATCATGCACTCACGTCTGTGTGAACTTGATCGCGTTGGACACGAGGTTCAGAATGATCTGCCGCAGCCTCCCTGGATCTCCTCGAATGAAGCAAGGCACGTCCGAGTCAATGTGGCTGTCCAGCTGGTGGGAGCAAGAGGGGGGAGGGCGGAAAAAAAAGAGGGGGAGGGAGGAGGAAGGAGAGTGGGGAGGGACTTGACTGCGTTGGACCCGAGGTTCAGAATGATCCGCCTCAGCCTCCCCGGGTCTCTTTTGAGACGTCTCAAAGGTCAACTCAGAATGATCCGCCTCAGCCTCCCCGGGTCTCCCCGAATGAAGCAAGGAACGTCTGAGTCAATGCGACTGTCCAGCTGGTGGGAAGTAAGGAAGGGAAGAAAGGAAGGGAGATGGGGAGGCGTGGAGAGAAGGGGGCGAGGGGGGAGACGTGGATCGCACTGCATCTTCCCGGAGCTCCCCGAATGAAGCAAGGCACGTCAGAATCAATGCGACCGACTGTCCAGCTGGTGGGAGCGGGAGGAGGGGAGTGAGGGGAGAGTTGGGAGGTGGTGTGGGCTTTGAGAAGTTGGGGAGTGGAGAGCGAGGCAGCACACCCACTACACGCACGCAGCTCACTGAGCTATGTCTGGATCTCACGAGGCAGTACACCCAAACTGCCCCTTCAGCCCCTTCCATCCAGCCCAACATACAGCACTGCACCTCAAGACTGACCCGCAAACCCACCCCACCCCTCAACACCGCCCTCAACGCCCCCATTAGCTCCTCTAGGCTCTCACCTGCAGGCCCTTGTCTGCTGCAGCAACGGACAGCATGGCAGAGGCTTCTTTCCCGCATGTAGCAAGGCAGAAGGGCACATCTTTCCAGAGGCAGCGTTTTTTTAGTCGACTCAAAACAAGGCAGAAGGGCACATCTTGAAGAGGTCCAATGCTCCTAACTCTCCCTGACTTTTGAGTCGACTCAAAAGTCACCTCTAGAGGCAGCGACTGGCTCTCTCTCGATCTTGGAGAGGTCCAACGCTCCTAACTTTCCCTCAAATCCACTGTCCCACCCTCTTTCCTCACCTGCAGGCCCTTGTCCGCAGCAGCAACGGACAGCAGGGCAGCGGCCTCTTTCACACATGTGGCGAGGCAGAAAGGCACGTCCTCTAGCGGCAGCGACTGGCCCTCTCTCGATCTTGGAGAGGTCGAGCTAGGGGCGGGTCAGCTAGAGGTCCAGCACGACTAGCTGCCCCGCCCCTCACCACCACCCTCCTAACCTGACTCACCTGCAGGCCCTTGTCTGCTGCAGCAACGGAGAGAAGAGCAGTAGACTCTTTGACGCACGTGGCGAGGCAGAAAGGCACGTCCTCTAGCGGCAGCGACTGGCTCTCGATCTTTGAGAGGTCCAGCACGTCTGAGATGATTCGCAGCAGGTTGTCCCCTGACGTGCGGATGATGTCCAGGTAAGAGCGCTGCTCCGCTGTGAGGGGCGTGTCTAGTAGCAACTCCGCCACCCCCACCACTCCTGGTATGGTAGAGGGAGGTTGGAACGAAATGGAAAGGGGAGAGGTCCAGCACGTCTGAGATGATTCGCAGCAGGTTGTCCCCTGACGTGCGGATGATGTCCAGATAGGAGCACTGCTCCGAGGTGAGTGGGGTATCGAGAAGAAGCTCCACCACCCCCACCACGCCTGAGGAGAGAGGAGAGGGGAAGGGGTGAGAGACACGGCACACGGAGGTCCAACTCGTCTGAGATGATTCGCAGCAGGTTGTCTCCTGAGGTTTGGATGATGTCCAGGTAGGGTGCCCAACACGCACCACAGCAGGTTGGTTCTCCAGTATACTTTCAGGCACCACGGCCACTCAGCACGCACCACAGCAGGTTGGTTCTCCAGTATACTTTCAGGCACCACGGTCACTCAGCACGCACCACAGCAGGTTGGTTCTCCAGTATACTTTCAGGCACCACGGCCACTCAGCACGCACCACAGCAGGTTGGTTCTCCAGTATACTTTCAGGCACCACGGCCACCCAGCACGCACCACAGCAGGTTGGTTCTCCAGTATACTTTCAGGCACCACGGCCACTCAGCACGCACCACAGCAGGTTGGTTCTCCAGTGTACTTTCAGGCACCACGGCCACCCAGCACGCACCACAGCAGGTTGGTTCTCCAGTATACTTTCAGGCACCACGGCCACTCAGCACGCACCACAGCAGGTTGGTTCTCCAGAGTACTTTCAGGCACCACGGCCACCCAGCACGCACCACAGCAGGTTGGTTCTCCAGTATACTTTCAGGCACCACGGCCACCCAGCACGCACCATTGACGAGGGTGCGGGCGGATCTCGTGGCTCATGTTGGCCAGGAAGATGCTCTTCGCCTCGCTTGCCGCCACCTTCCCAGGTGAACCCACATTCTCCAATAAACTCCCCCACACCGTACATGGTCTGCCTCACCGTTCATGGGGGTGCGGATCTCGTGGCTCATGTTGGCCAGGAAGATGCTCTTTGCCTCGCTCGCCGCCTCTGCCACTTCTTTGGCCTTCCGCAGCTGCTCCTCCTGCCGCAGCGTCTCTGTCAGGTCGTGCCACGTGCCCACAAACACACTGTCTGCTCCCACACGCATGAGCTGTGTAAGAGTGGGGCGGAAGGGTGGGTGGGGGAGGTGGAGAGGTGAGACATTCGGAAGGCTGCAGCTGCTCCTCCTGCCGCTGCGTCTCTGTCAGGTTGTACCACGTGCCCACAAACACACTGTCTGCTCCCACACGCATGAGCTGTTCAGAAGAGCGGAGATGATTAGGAAGGAGGGGGACGGGAGGACGGGAGGACGGGAGGGGAGAGGGGGAAAGGGACGATGCTCCCGGGTTTAATGTGAGGTCTCGCCAAGTATCTACAAACACACAGTCCACTCCCACACGCATGAGCTGGTTGTGAAGAGGAGAGGGGGGGACGGACAGGCGGGGGGACAGGAGCGGGGAAGGGGAGGGGGAGAGGGGACGGTGCTCCTGGGTATGCTTTGAGAAGCATTCAAACTCCTTGGCTCGCCACAGCTCCTCCTCCTGCTTCAGCATCTCTGTCAGGTCGTGCCACGTGCCCACAAACACACTGTCCCCGCCCACTCGCATGAGCTGCGTCAGAGAGGGGTCAATGCCAGGCGGGGAAGGGAAAGGGGAAGACGTCAGGAAGGTGCTAGCTAGCTGCTGCTCCTCCTGCCTCAGCGTCTCTGTCAGGTCGTGCCAAGTGCCCACAAACACATTGTTCCCGCCTACTCGCATGAGCTGCTAAGGAGAAGAGGAGTGGACGGCAGGAAGAACGAGAGGACGGGAGGACGGGAAGGGGGAAGGGGAGGGATGATCCGCTTTTGAGTCGACTCAAAGGGAGGGATGATCCTTCCACTCATTAGCTCGCCGTAGCTCTTAGCTCTTAACTTGTTGACGCTCATTAGCTCACCGCAGGGCAAAGGCCTATCACCACTGTAAGAGTGCAACACGCGCAGTGGGACTTTACTTGGTGGTGGATCCGAAGAGGTAGGAGCTCCCCGTCTCACTTCCTGCAAGTCCACGGCACCACCACCTCACCCCTCTCTGCCACCTCCCGCCCCACCCCGCGATATGTAAGTGTGTGTGCAGTCACAAAGTTGTGCAGAAAAGATTCACCTGGTAGTGGATCCGAAGGGGCAGCAGCTCCCCGTCTCGCTTCCTGTAAGTCCACGGCACCACCACCTCACCCCTCTCCGCCACCTCCCGCCCCACCCTCGCTGCTTTCTCCTCAGACCTCTCTCCATCCGGCTGGAATTCGGGGGAGAGAGGAGGGGAGGAGCACCCCAGGGCAACGGCGTGCCGGAGCGCCGCTTTGGAGGGGTAGCGGAGGAGTAGCAGGGATGCTGGATTGCAGTCGAGAAGCTGGTGGCTCATGCTGTATACCACTATCGGATCCTGGTGTAAAGGGGATGGAGAGGGAGGGGATGGGGATGGGGAGAAGCGGAGGGAGTTGGGATGGGGATGGGGAGAGGCGGAGGGAGTGGGGGGGAGGGAGATGGTGAGCTGGAACTCCTGGAAAGAGAGGAGGAGAGGAGCAGCCGAGGGCAACGGCGTGCTGTAGGGCCGCTTTGGAGGGGTAGCGGAGGAGGAGCAGGGCTGCTGGGTTGCAGTCGAGAAGCTGGTGGCTCATGCTGTATACCACTATCGGATCCTGTTGTAGGGGGGATGCGGGGGTGTGGCAGTGGGGGGATGGAGCGGGAGGGTGGGGATGGGGAGACAATCGCCTTTAGACAGTGTCACTTGTGCTTTTTAGTTGGGCCAGAAAGTTATAACCACCTTGGATCTCTCATAAACCTTGTGCTTAGTTGGACCACCTTGTGCTTTTCAAACACCTATATCGTCCAGCATATTCTCTATCCTTGAACCGAAAAGCTGTGAGATCACCTTGGATCTCTCGTAAATGCCCCTGAAAAGCTCATACTCCTGCAGTGCCTCTTGTAGCCTTCCCGCTGCGTTGCTCGCCCATCGAACCACGCCATCAGCACTAACACCACCACCTGCATCGGCAGCAACACCATGTGCTTCGCTATAAGGTGCCTCTATACATGCTGCTGCTGCACAAGACTCCGCACCCGCCGCCCCTCCTTGAGTCGCCCTGACACTTTCTCCTGCAGCAACTGCTGCATAAGGTTGCTCATCTTGTCGAGCTGCTGTTGCTCCTGCTGCTTCTGCAGCTGCTCCTGTTGCTGCTCCTTTTTCTGCCACTCCTGCTCCTGCTGCTGATGCTGCTCCTGATCCTGCCGCTTCTTCCCTTGCTCCTGCGCCTGCTCCTGCTATTCCTGCTCCTACTGCTCTCTCTCCTTCTTCTGCTTCTGCTCCTGCTGTGCCTGCTGCTTCTTCCCCTCCCTCTACATCTGCTGCCTCCCCTGCGCTGCCTCCTTCCTCACCCGTTCGCCCCTTCCTTCCCCCTGCTATTTCTTCACCAACAGCAAAACCCTCCCCACAAGCAACCTGCATCTCTTGAACCAGCTTCTGCCCCCATTTGGACAGCTCTTCCAACGGGAGGTGGCAACTGGGGGAGAAGAGACTAGGATCGCCAGGGGTAGCTGCAGCAGTGGCGGGGATGGTGGTCATAGCTGCTGGTGCGGAAGTGGGAGCATCACCAGTGGTTGTTACTACTATGGCAGGAGAGGCGGCCGGATGAATGGAATCTGTGGAGGTGCCTTTACCGAGGTGACACACTGTCTGAATTGCCTGATTTAGAGCTGAGACAAGGTGTGCTGTGGTTCTGCTTGTGACAGATTTTCGGATCTGGGAAGTTGGGGCAGGAAAGAAAAAAGAGGGAGCAGGAGAAAAAGGGTGTGTGCATGAGTGCGTGGAAGTGGAGAGGAGAGAGGTGGGGCTGCAGGGAGAGAGGTGGGGCTGCAGGGAGAGAGGTGGGGCTGCAGGGAGAGAGGTGGGGCTGCAGGGAGAGAAGGGGGAGGCAAAGGACAGAGATAACGAGAGAAGAGGTTCGAAGGAGCAGAGGTTAAGGCATAGTTGCCACTTACGCACAAGGTAAGAACGAAAGAAAAATAATATCAGACAGAAAATAACACTGCTAGTATTTCACGACACACACACACACACACACACACACACACACACACACACACACACACACACACACACACACACACACACACACACACATGCAAAGACACACACACGCACACACACACGCACACGCATGCGCCCGCACTCACACACACAAACACATCACACACATGCAAACACACACACACACAAACACACACATGCACACACACACACACACACACACACACACACACACACACACACACACACACACAGAAACACATCACACACATGCAGACACACACACAAACGCACAGACACATACACACACACACACACACACACACACACACACACACACACACACACGCTCTGGGTGTAAAAACTAGATAATCAACGCACTAGCACACGTTCACGCATTACTTCCTCTCCGGTGTGCATCCAAAAAACAGAACCAGCGCCTCTATTTAGACACAGCCAATGTAATTTTGACTTTAAAGTTATCGTGTAGACTTCGGATTGGGAGAGCAGGAGTAGTAAGCAGAATTGTTACCTGTTGGCTTAGCTCCCCAGGAGTCTTCACACGAAAGCTGGCAACTAGAAGGTTTTCAGGACCCAAGGGACAAGCCGTGCTGCCATGCGGCGTAGAAGTTCTACTAAGGGTGTGAACCATATCTTCAACTTGTAGTAGCTCCAGTGTGACTTCAACGGGAAGCGGAGCCTTCTGTAACGAGGCCTTTTCTCGTACAGCTGTTTTACAAGATCCACCAGCATCATACTTTCCAGTGGACTTAGAGGCATTATTGGAATCCGGGGTAGCTCCATGCTTCAGCGGAAAAGCACAACTACTAATGATGTCGGTGGAGATAGTACCAATGCACTGACAATTTTGAGCGTCAGAATTGGGCAAGGCGAGTTTTCCTTCCAGACAAGTTTTAGTTTTTTTCTGGGAAAGCAACGGATCAACAACTTCAACCCAACTGAAGCTGGAGCTCCCCTTAGATTGGGCTTTTATGTTTGCAGCAGCTGTCTCCGTGGGAACTTTTTCACTGGGATCTACGAGGAAAATGTCGGTAAAGTGGAGGGACTTCAGCTGATTTTCGCAGCAAGCGCCAAGCGCAAATAAAGCTCCTCTGCTGACAGCGATTATGCGGGAATCTGCTGGTGAGAGAACGAGCTGAGATGTTCCTTGGGATTGCCTAATATAGTGAAGCAGTGTCATGATTGGCGAACAACACAAATGCTAGGCGAAGCGCGTGAGGAAACGACGATGATGCGCTTAGCAGTAACCGCACTCAATCACAGCGGCAAGAGCACATTAGTATCTCTTGAATCAAGGTGAAGTAGCACCAAGTGTCCTCCAGATCTGATTTCTTTACCAGATTACTATTTTGTAGCAAATCTCATCCCAGCATGTGGGCCCTGGGTTTTTGCCTTGGCGATGTTTGGGTGATGTTGGGAGGGTGATTTGTTGGGGGTGGGGGAAGGGGGAGGAATCTGCTGCTGTAACGGTGCACTTGCAGGCACGCGTGATTCAGGGTTTGTCCTCTCCCAGCCAAGCTCCCCACACCAGCACCACCCCGCCCCGCTCTTGCTTCATGTTTTCTTTCTCGAACTCTGCCAGGCGGAGATTGCCCACCAGATGGGGTCAGATGAGGAGTGGTGGATTCGGGTTTGATGCAGGATAAATCAGATCTGCGAATGTGGAGTGCTAAAGAGAAAAAGGAGCTGGATCGAATGTAGAACGGTTTCGAAAGTTTCGGGGGATTCTGGGTGGCACCTGGAAACCCTGGGACGGGACCAGAACCTGGGCTGGGAGGAGCTGTGCGGGCGGAAGTTCACTCTACCCCCTGCCCCCCAGAAGGCTGCCATTTGGGAACCCTACAAGGACCCAGAAGGGTTTGTTGGCAGGATGGAATGTACAACTTGACGAACCCTGACCGTTCGATCTGCCAGCACTCGCGATCTGACGCAAGCTTCTGTACTACTAACTGCTGCACTCTAGGGTTTCTACTGGATGGAGAGGAGAGGAGGGGGGGGTTCGGGAGCATGGGGGGAGCAGACGAGAGTGGCTGAAATTGGTGAGGCTGGATAACATGTTATTTTTTCGCCAGCGTGGAGCAGAGCCAGGGCCACACAAGCGCAGTCCGCACCAGGACGGTTTGGACGCACCAAATTCCAGTCATAAGGGATAGGATATGATATAAAAAAGTTTTTTGTTCAGGCGGCTTTACCGTAAATGAACTGTACAGTGTAATGGCATGATTGAAATATAAGAAAAGCGCTGCCCATATGAGAATTAAGCCAAACTGCTTCATCTGTTCACTACAGTATACGGTACAGACGTCAACTGCAAGAGCAGTCGACGTGTATGACTGTTCCTTACCACACACGGGCAGGATTCATTCAACCCTTGAACACAGCACGTCATGTCGCTGACGTTTTCTGTCATCCATCATCAACCCAACCAGCGCTCAGTGACGTCTCGATTCATGTTTTGTCTGATTGAAACTGACTTCCATCTTTTGCGGTCCACCATTTTGGCGGGACCTGCTCTCGTCGATGTTTCCTTTCCACAGCCTGAAACTTCTGGTTCGTGAGTGGTGACGTGAGTCCCACCAAGCAAACTCACACCTCAACTTCAACATGTCGTTTGTACCTTTTGTTATAAATGAAGTGTGTAGAGTGTTATGTACCTCTAAGGAAGTTTTTTCGGCATTCCTTACGGAGCCCGACTACATCGCGTACAGCAACAGCCGTTGTTCGCCCGTTGCTGCTAACGGGACTTTGCCAACCTCGCGTGCACTGTTTTGCCAAACCTCACACTGCTGGCCCGGCCGTGTCGGCCTACGCTTTGGGACTAGCCCGAGCCTCGCCGCCAGCGTAGCACTAGCTAGCTCGCACGCACCGCGTTACCGTTTGCATATTTCGCGTATAAATGTTCGCTCATGCCTTCGCTCACATCTTTGTACTCGTTTGACACTCTACTGCAATCCTCGCTACCACAATCCATTGCACTTGTCACACTTGGTATTCAGAGCCTCTTTCTTTCGGACCGCGCATCTCCGCACCCCCAGGAAATCAAAATTTGATTTTTCACTCGAAGGGACTCACGCACCTTAGCACCTAGGAGCTGCTGTCCTCGCGTTCTCCCGTAAACGCGTGCAGCCACGACTGTGCCTAGACTAAGACGAGCCGACACCTTTCGCAATGGCTGAGCACACTGATATCACGACTCTCACGCATGAGCTCTTGAACGATCTGCTGCGACAAATCCGCGAGAGCGCCGAGGAAATCGCGACTGTGACAGCAGAACGCTCGTCCCTGCAGAATGACCTCACACGAGCACAACAAGCACAATCTCAAGCACCTGGCACTTCGGAACAGCCCGCACCATAGGCATCACAACACGGAAGCGTGGGGCAACCCGCGAACGCAGCCAGTGATGGCGTCGTCCGCCCCGACGAAGACGACGACCACGGCACGACACACCCCGAAGCAACGAATGCGGCCCGAAGCCAGCCACGCGTCACAATTTCGGCACCAACCGACGGTTCGGCACTACCGTCACCGATGCCGCTGAAGCCGCAGCGTCCGCCATACTTCGATCCC